AACGATGCAAGCACTGCGGCAGTGCACATACTCCGCCAGCGGTAGTCGTCACCAGTCCTCTGTCTTGGCAGTCGTTGTCAAACCGGAATGGTCGGCAGTGCGGAGGGTCCGACACTGGGCGGGACCCATGGCAAACAGTCGTTCGTCGGGTGGTTGCTGACAAGCTTCGGAGACTCGGAAGGCTCCGAAGAGGGTGGGCACCCATCATGCCAAGAGGTCGGGGGCTGGCCTTGTATCACACAGAAACAGGACGTATGGGGTGCAGTTTCGAGAGAGATCCGGGACCCTGTTTCCCGAGCCTTCTTTCTGCAGGGGCGATGGGCCATGGTGCCGTTCTTTGACCACAAGCGTCATGTCATCCCCACGGTGACGGACCCCTTCACGCCCTTATCATCGGGCTCCAGAAGCAAAGGGAAAACTATAAGACATCCCGCGCCGATATTGCAAAGGTCGTTGGGCGCAGCGGAATGCTAAGGGCTTTGATCAACAAATGTAACTGCTTGGCGGGGTGTGCGAGTACATTGTAGCCTGTTGACTGTCGTGTTGTTTCCTTCTTTTACTCTCGTATCAGTATCTCGGGAATTTGTGATAAGTGAAAGAGTGGCTGGTGGGTGGTTAGATATTGAAGAGTTGTTGAAGATTGGATCACTCAAGATGGTCGTATGTGATGAGGAAGTGGGGACAAGGAGGAGGCACACGCAAAGCAGCCCCATTTTTGTTACGTGCTCAGCTGCCGCGAGTTTCTCAAATCTTCTAACAAACGAGTAAACGTGCAGAGTGACAACAGCACTTGATACAATGTGAATTTCAAAATTACCGCTAATGCCACACGCTCTAGGCACGATCAACAACGTTACTGCTTGACACTCTTCATGTTCCAGCCTGGCGGTTTTGCCAAGAGCTCATGACTTTTTGAATAAGCAGAGTGACTGCTCACTACTCAGCCGACAACGGCACTGGCTGAACTTTGCAAAAGGTGATAGAAAAATGGTACAGAAAAGCAGTGTCTTTTTCCAGCCTTTTGTTTAGGACACCTGACGAAATAAAACTGGTCTAAGCTAGGCTACTTCTTGCTTCGCATAACATAACAACCACCAAACCCTGTGACAGAGAACGCTGATCCAGCCTAGGAGTCGAGCTGGACATAGTTGGCGGGGAACAGACCAGATGCCCCATTGTAGTGGCCGAACCACCAATCCTCATCTGGGAAGTCTAGGTCTGTGATCGTGGCCCCTTCAGGGAAGCTCAGCTCTGCGGTTGATTGTGTCAGCATCATAATTCGGTGGGGCTTAGGACTCGGTTGCCGAAGGAATACATACCGTTGTCTTCTGCAGCCTCGTAATCGAATTGCGCCGTCGCCGTGGGCCCGGCTGGGGCGGGCTGAGGCTCCTCCGGTTGCACTGCTGGGGCGGGCGCGGGCGCGGGCACGGGCGCCGGCGGTGGCGGGGCGCCGGCCCCCTCGTCCTCATCAACCAGTTCGACGTAGTTGCTGGGGAACAGACCGCTCTCGCCCTGGGCGTTGGTACCCATCCACCAATCGTCATCGACCATCTCAATGTTAGTCACATACTCGCCCTCCCGGAGCTCAATCTCGTTGTCCTCGGCCTTCTCGTAATCGTACTGGATCAGGGCCCGCTTGCCACCCGTCGCCTCGGGCTCCGCGCTTGCTCCGCTATCTGCTGCGTGGGCTATGGCCCCCCCGGCAATGGCCCCGCCGGCAACGCCAGCGGCCGCAGCGACGGCAACGGCGGCAGCCCGAGGATTGTGGGTCTCGCGCTCAGCCGGAAGCTGCTCTTCCTTGGGGACCTCCTGAGGAACGGGAACGGGCCGGGGAGGAAGGCTTTCGGCCGCGGGCTCAATGTCAGGCGCAGCGCTGCGGGGCACCGGCATCGCGACTCGCACAGGCGACGGCTCGCGTTCCTCGTAATTGCGGGACGGGATAGAGGGCGGGGGCTGCTCTTGCTCTTCCTCTTCCTGATTCTCAGCTGCGGGCCGGGACGGTAGGCCGGGAAGAGCGAAGCCGCCAGGAGGAGGCCGGTTACCCATTGGCGGGGGTGGCGGGGCCGATTCCTCCTCGTCGCGAGCAGCGGCGTCTGGGGCGGACCTTGCTGTGGTGCCCATCGGCGCGGCGTCCTTGAACTTGTCGCGCAGCGCAGAAATACTGCCGCCCGTCGTCGCGGGCTGCTGCTCTACCTCCTGCTCAAACTGCTCGCCTTCTACCGTGTCTTGCTTCTCCACACCGCCTCGGCCAAAGTTGCTGGTATGTACCGGCGCCCAACTCTTGCCTGAATAACCGCTCTTCCACTCGCTGCCGCTCTTTTGGGCCGTAATCGGGGTTGTCACAGCCGGGGACGGAGAACCGGTGGTCGCGCCGCCCTGCTTTGCCTTCTTCTCAGCCCATAGCTGAGCCGGGGTCTTGCCGCCTTGATCGGCAAATGTCCGGCTGGCGGCGCCAACAGGTGGCGGGGCGGGGGTCGCCGGCGCACCAAAGCCCAGGCCCCCCGGAGTCGGAGCCTTGGTACCGCTGAAGGGGGTGCTCCCAAACTTCTTTGCAACCTTGGGTTTCGGTAGCTCGGTAAGACGTTCCGAAGGTGTAAAAGCAGCACTTCTCTCGGCAAGACTCTTTGGCGCGGGTGCCGACTCTTCTTGCGACTCGGCCGGGCGTTGCGCTTTGGCTCGGATGGCGGCAATATCGACCTTGCCTACGGGTTCGTATGCGCCTTTCACCACGGTGGGGCGATCATCCTGCTTCGCCTGCGCCCTGAGCGAAGCAATATCAACCTTACCCACGGGCTGGTACCCCCCTCCGACGATATCACTCGGCCGGTTGTCTTGGTTTGAGGATCCGTTAAACCGCGAGTCGTCATTATTCTTCCTCAGGCTGGCAATGTCCACCTTCGTCGGCTTATAGGCAGACTCGACCTTCTCAACCTGGGTGCGTGTGACCGGGGGTGCGTCCGCACCCCAACCGTCGTCGTCGGTATTTCCTTGCCTCCGGGTACGAGCAGCGACGATCGGGTTGAAGGAGCCTCCAGACCCAGATGTTGTCGGGGTGAAGACGGGTTTCTTGGCAACCGGAGGCGGTGCCGCCGGGGCTTGTGTGGACGCCGCCCCCGCCGAGTATTTGGCCCCGGACGCGTCCGCCACCTTCTGGACGATGTCTTCGGGAACGACGTCGGCGTCGGAGCGTGCTGTGATCTGAACATGATAGCCATGCAGAATTTTGGAGACGGCGGAAACATGGCTTGTAAAGTACCCCTTGGTGCGTTCGGGAACCCCCCCGCCACACCAAGCGATCAGGACATTCTTGGGAAGGCCGGAATTCGGGTCTTTGACTCGGACGAACGCGAACTGGATACGGCCTTCGCTGAAGTCCTCGACGAGATCGGCGAGCTCGCCCTCTGCACAAGAAGCTGGGTTAGCTTAACCTAACACACGCGGTGTAAAGAGTGCCTGTTGTTTCGTGCGGCGGTCTCAGAGGCGAGCGGGGGTTGCGTCAGGGCACTTACCACCGGTGGTTTCGACCTTCAAGACGCTCTCCTTCGCGCCAGTATTCTGAAAGGCATTCAAGAGCGGCGCTTGCACTGTAAAAAGTGCCCACCGCGCCGCAGTCGGAGACGTCGACGAGAGGGCGGGGCCATTGATGACGCCTTGGTAGCTGCTCTTGATCGAGGGGCCGTTCGTCGATAGATTTAGCGACGCCATTGTTTCGCGCGATCCGGGATCGATCGCTTCTCTGTAGGGATAAGTATGAGGATCGAGAAAGCAGGATTGTTGACTCGGGATCGGTGGTGGACTTGGGCGCTCGACGACAGAGGATAACCTGAACTGGGCGGGAGTGGGGAGGGAGCTTTCCAGCGGACGTCAAAGAGGCTGTGGGCTGTGCAGGAGGAGCTCCCAGGATCTTGGCAGCGCTTGGCACCCAGGGCGCTTTCATGGAGCATGGATACGCGGGGATTCGTTCATTTTCGGCCTTGAAGCGGTCAGTTACGATCCCAATTTCGAAATCAAACAACCACCACTGAAAGCGTTCTACGGTGATACCTGGTGGCCGGAAGCAATGGAACTAGGTCCGTTAGGCAGTATTATTGTTAAAGTTCAAATTGACTAACTGAAACCCCTTGGTTACACCGAACAAACATCATGCCGTATCATCGTTACGTGACCGTTGAGAAGTTAATACACAACTTAAACGACCCCTCGCGCACCTACAACCCAAGCAAAGCACCCCGATTTATCCAATTGAGCACCCATTGCTGGCGGCGATCTCTCTTCGCTGTCAAATTAACAGCACTCCATACAGCACTCGCAACATTCCGCGCAACATTCGCAGCCCTCCTCGCAAACGAAACAACAGCACAAGGCCGCCAAGCAACCCTTGAGGCAGCCCCCACCGCCACTATTCTGCTTACGCGGCTGCTCCTGATATTGCATTTGACCCTGGGGAGGGTAATGGTAGCCTTGCGGGCCCGGTGCTGGTCCGGGATACGCCTAGCGAAATGAGTTGACATCAGCAGATCTGAGGGCAGGGCAGCAGGTCGCCGACTTGGTTCGAGGGGACAAGTCACTTACAGGTTGAGGATGTTGGGGATACTGCTGCGGATACGGCCCTGGCGCGGGGGCGCCGTAGCCCTGCGGCGGCGGGCTGTTGTAGCCCTGCGGCGGGCCTTGCTGGTAATACTCTTGGGCCGACATTGCCAAGCACCGAGCTCTCGAGAAGATAGATTCGTGCAGTAAGGGTAGGTATGTATGGATGTCGGGTACTACTGTCCTAGTATACGCAGTTGTACGCGCGTGTAGATCGGGGAAACGAGATGATGTCGGGCGCCAAGATCTTGGCTGCTGGCAGGTCTGATTTTGGACGGGTCGGGGGAGACAATTGGAGGCGAGCGAAGAAAAAGAAAAAGTGGGCGATCCAGTTGAGTGGCTGAGAAGGGGCCTCCGTTGCCGTTTCTTGTGCAGCTGAAATGCTGTTGATAATTGGTCCGGCCAAATCCGGCTGGGGCTTTTCACGGCGGGCATGTCGCAGCTGGGGAAGAAACGGCCGGCGTCATCGGTATGTGAAGTCCCGGCTCTGAGTTCCTGGCAAACAATCTCAAACTAAGCCGAATTTGATGATACCTAGGCAGTACGAAGTACGTCCTACATGAAGATTCACAAGGTCGACTAGACTTGCGGTGGACTGGTCTCAAACTGCGCACCCACCTAACCGCCGGTCCCCGGGTAGGGTCCATATCTTTGCATTTGCTTGTGACACTGGTTGTTGATTGATTAGTAGGAAAGCTGGATTGCGTGGATGAGGCCGCTGAATGGCGCAACTGGCCTTCGGCCAATCATGGCCCCGAGCCCGGAGCATGCGGGGTCCCGATGGAATGGATCCGTAATCGGGTGGGAGAAAGTCGACGGCGGGGTGCCCGCCAGTGGCGGTTGTCGTCGAAGCTTAAACACCCAAACAAAAAATTGTCAAGAAAGGCAGAAGAAGTTGGTCGACACAATTCACCGCATCCTACCAAAACCCATCACCTCGATTTTGGGGTTCCATCAGCGCCCACACGAAGTCTCTCAAGCCGAAAACCCGACACGCTTTCGTTGCCGCTTCTGTTATCCCAACTCGAGTCGGCTTATCACTAAGCTCAAGCTCTCACCATGTCTAATATCGAAGAGATCACCAGCGTGGTGGCTTGGGAAAAGCACATATCGTCGTTGCCGACATCCACGCTTCTAATCGTCTCGTTTCATGCACCATGGGCGGCGCCGTGTGCGCAAATGGCAACCGTGCTCTCGACGCTGGCTAGCGAATACCCCGCCACCGAACCGCGGTCGACTTCATGGGTGAAGATCAACGCCGAGGAGCTATCAGATATTAGCGAAGCCTACGACGTGACTGCTGTTCCATTCCTCGTCCTCATCCGGAACGGCGAGGTGCTCGAGACGGTGAGCGGGAGCAGTGCGGTCAAAGTGCGAGAGGCTATTGAAAAGCACGCGAGCAAGGCGGGGGCAGCAACCACTACCAACAATGGTGCCGCGCCGGCACCCGGGCTCGGCGAAGCGGAGGTCAACACAGAGGAAGACCCAGAAAAGAAGAAACAGGAACTCTTTAGGCGCCTCGGTGATCTCGTGAAAGCGGCACCCGTCATGCTCTTCATGAAAGGGACACCGAGCGAGCCCAAATGCGGCTTTTCGCGGCAACTGGTGGCGATCCTGCGCGACAACGCCGTCAAGTACGGCTTCTTTAATATCTTGGCCGACGATGAGGTGCGGCAAGGTTTGAAAGAGTTTGCCGACTGGCCGACCTTCCCGCAGTTGTGGGTGGACGGCGAACTTGTCGGTGGGCTTGATATCGTGCGTTATTCTCGATTCTACTGCTTGAACCTTGTGCGTACGTATGCTGACATCCGGGCAGGTCAAGGAGGAGCTGGACAGTAACGCGGATTTCCTGAAGCCGTATAGTGTCAAGGCAAATGGCGATACCTCGGCCGTAGCGGCTTAAAGCATTTTGGTCAAGAAATACCAGGCCAGACACCCCGCATGCTGCGTGAGGGGAGTGTGCCCTGTGGTTCTGTCTTGGGTGCGCCAGAATCACGCTAGGGTACCTCCGCCGCGCCTGGACAGCATTGTCCAATCGGGCTTACCAAACCACTCACACGATTCGCGGTTGAGGAGGATCGATGTTTTCTTGCACCGAGAGGAGAGACTGACAATTGAACCCACGGGTATCCCCGCAGCGGAGCGGAGAGGCGTGGCACACCGTATGACTCATATCACTTTATTGGGATGAGCTTGAGAGCTGAATAAGCCAACAAAATGTTCCCATGTGCTCCTCTGAACTTGTTGGCGAGTTCTTCGAATGTTGTTCGCAGCCAGCATGGAAGCCTCGTGGCACCCATGCTTCCGGCGTTTGTAATCGGTGTTATGTACGAAGTACATCGGTACCCAACAACGAGAATACCGAGAATGTCGGATCTGACCCCAAGGTTGGGCCAGCCTCCTTGGTCGAGAGGTGCACTGACTGGCATGATCGCTTCCGGCTCTCTCGCCCTTTCAATGCCCAAAGACAAAAAGTGTTAAACCACCTGTTTGGTACCTCACAATCTTCTAACAATTCTTTATTTCAAGTTTCCGACCTCTAAATTACATAGTATTGAACTCGGTTTTCGCCTTGCAAGACGTCAAACGTTACCTATCAAAGCCGAGCGCAATAGTAAACTACCTACATAAACGGAGATCTGCCCATCTTCCGCTTGCATCAAAGCCCAGCCAACCTCCAACACCCCCAACGCAGCCCCACCAAGGCCTACGCACGGGGCCCCCACTAAGCATCATCTCACCGCGAGCAGGCTTCCATCGCCAACATCATCATCATTCACGACGTCAAACCTGGTGTTGAGGCATCGTCTTGGAACGATCCTGATCGCAACAGTTTACGTTTTTATATTTCTCACTTTTCTGGTCGCTAAACTTAATCGTCCCAATTGCACGCGTCAATTTACCGCCCCCATCCAATACAGCGGCAACCCGAAACGCCCCTTTCAATTCGTACCTCGCTTCGCCTCTATCTGGGCATCTCGGGTGTTCCCAACTTGTCGGAACATTCATCTAGCTCGGCCAAATTCTTCGTGGACGACTCGCGCGGTTCCAATCACACCTCGGCGATACTGTAGCTCCCAAGTTTATTGCGCTGTGTCCAACTCGCTGCTGGATTTGAAGATCTCACTGGGTGTACTGGTCCCTGCTGCCCGAGCGAGCAGAGCGGGACGTTGTGTGTGGATCGACAAGAGGCCGGAATCTGCAGTGTTGGTTTGCGAAGCTTGAGTGGACCCGGGCCAAAACCTGCAAGGGAAGCTTGTTAGAAGGGTGCGCGCCAGCTCAGGGGGCTGTACTCGACGAAGACGCATTGTCTATTCGAGTAAAAGCCGTGATAATCGGTGGTGATCCGATCCGCCAAACTCGCGTTTACGTTCTTCTCTTCGCGCGCCCAGCATGACGCCCACACCGCCTTCGGCGACCACTTCATCGACCGGTCGGTCGCCTGAACCGCAGTTTCGCGTCGTCCGTAAGAGAAACCGAGTGCCTCTCAGCTGTTACCCGTGTCGGACAAGAAAGTGAGCTGTTTTCAAGCATGTTATCTCCCATGCCGCCCGTTGCCGTACAGCCAGCTGACGAGTGCCCAGGTTGTAAGTAGTCATCTCGAGGGATGGTGCGGATTCCCTCACGTCACGCCACTAACCCGCCTTCCAGAAAATGCGACAGGTCTCACCCATGTAGCAACTGTACCAAGCGCGAAGGGACAGGTACGCTTTCCTGTTCCTACGCCGCACCCGTCTCTCGCAGGAAAAACCAGAACCAGGGAGAGCCGACTCCGGACGACATGCAAAACCGTATCGACAGATTGGAGGGTCTTGTATTATCCTTGATGCACGGCGGGGCCAATGTTGATGCGCCCTCTTTGCCTGGCGGTTCTTCCATCTCGTCTGGCGGCGCTGGTTCCGGTGCCTCGCCTTCTACCGCGGACAGCAGCTCACTACCAGCAAAAAGTAGAGGGCACGACGACGAGGGCGCGATGCAGGATGACGACGAAAGCGACATTGACGACGGGCTCGCCAAGTCCCTTGGAGTCCTGAAAATGGACCCAGTTCGATCAAAGCACGTGTATCTCGGGGAAGAGCATTGGCACACCATCTTGAGCGATATTGCCGAAGTCAAGAATTACTTTGCAAGCCATAAGAAGGAGCTTGAGAATAGCTACGAGAAAATCCGGCTAGCGAAGCCCGAGGTCTCCAGCCAGCCGCCGAGTATACTCTCGGGCGTCGCCCCTGCGAGCGAGGTCGAACTTCGGGCAGAGTTGCCGCCCAAGTCGACGGTCCTAGCCTTGTGCGGGAGGTACTTCAACTCAATGGATAACGCTGCCAACATCCTGCACGGCCCGTCATTCCAGCAGCAGCTTCGAGACCACTGGCAAGACCCGTCCAAGACGCCCATAATGTGGTTGGCCCTATTGTACGCAGTCATGTGCCTGGCCTTGATGAGCTACCACAAGGCGGGGGACGAACCGGCCGAGTTGAAGGGCAGGGTGCTTGAGTTGGCGCACGAGTACCGGTTGAGAACGGTGCAGTGCTTGAATGTCGGCGACTATACAAGGCCGGCGCAATACACCGTCGAGGCTATGATGCTCTACACCTTCTGCGAGTACTCGACTCGCTTCGATGCCGACTTGGGCATATGGATCATTGTATCCATGGTAGTGAGGGTTGCTATGAGGATGGGCTATCACCGAGATGGCAAGTCGTTTCCAAACCTCACCCCCTTTGAGGCGGTATGTTGCCCCCCTTTCTGTTTCCCTCTGTCCCAGCATTGTGTCTCACTGCTGACGCCACCTGAACTTTAGGAAATGAGACGTAGGACCTGGTCTTTCGTGAGGATGATGGACATCTTCTATTCGCACCATCTATCCCTGCCGAGCATGATCTCGGAACACGACTGCGACACCGAGTTGCCCCACAACATCTACGACGAGGAATTCGGCCCAGACACGAAAGTGTTACCGGCCTCCAGACCTAACACTGAACCGACACCAATCAGCTACATGGTGTCCAAAGTCAAGCTGTGTTTCCACCTCGGCATCATTCTGCAGGCCACAAGTCGGGTAAAGGACCAGGTACATTACGACGATATCCTTCGGTTTGATGCCAAGTTGCAGGACATTCGGGCTGAGCTCCCGCCTCACTTGAGGATGCAGCCGCTCGACAGCTCAACCCCGCTGACGTCGGTCATGGCCCGCTTCCACCTGGATGTTCTCTATCTCAAGATCATCTGCGTGCTGCACAGGAAGTACATACCGCGAGCGAGAAACAACCCCAGGTATGCCCACTCACGGCGCAGTGCAATCGAGGCGTCGCTGGCAACGCTACGGCATCTGGCGACTCTGCATCGGGAGTCGCAACCCGGCGGGCTCTTGTATTCTATTAAGTGGTTCTTCAATTCGGTCACGACCAAGGACTTCCTCCTTCCTGCCATGCTGGTCGTTTCGGACTTGCATTTCGATAACGCATGTCCGCAGACGTCGGGGCAGCCTGACGCCCAGGGCTCAAACTTTTGGACAAGAGAACAGCGCCAAGAGATGATCAACAGCCTGGAGCTGACAAGGGACATATGGAAGGAGCTGTCCGACGTTTCGATTGAGGCACTCAAGGCCTCCAATGTCCTTGAGATTATGCTGATCAAGATCAAGAGTCTTGGGGGGGCGGACGGACCGACACGTGCTTCAGGACCTCGTGGGTCCGGTGACTCGACAAATTTGCAGCCAGGGCAACCAGGGCACTTAGGGGATATGGGGCGAAGCATGCACTCAGGTGCAGCGGTGTCGGGGTCCTCCACGGCTTACAATGGGGCTCAGTCCTCCATGGGCTCGAATGGGTATGGGGCCCTCAATATGGGCATGGACGTAGGAATTACAGGCACAAATTCCGGGGGGATGGGGAGTGCCACTGCACCGAACTTCGCCAACCCCATGCTGGGTTTTGACAGCGTACAATCCCCACTGACCATGTTCGATAACATGGCGAGCAGTACCCTGGACTTTCCAGACCACAGTTTCGACTGGGTGAGTCCTCCCTGTGCTCTTCTATCTTAGCAACTCATTCTCGTTCCCCGCCCCTGCTAACCAGCTGTATCCAGGAATCGTTTGAAAACTTTACCCACACTGCAAATTGGGGAAGCGAGTCCCTCCAGTTCTTTCCTGGCAACCCGGACCAGCAGCAACAACAAGCGTCGCAAGATGGGACTCAGTTTCCCTATAACCTGGATTTAGCGGGGCCAAGTTGAAAACGTGGAATCGAGATTGCGCGGAGACCTAGTGCTATAAATGAGACCTTGATATTGGTCCAAAGGGAAGGGTAGAGAGAGAGAAAGGCCGGAAAGGGCCGGGGTACCCTCCACTTCGCGGTGGTGTATGTTGGGTTCGTTTCCGGCGTGTATATCAGAATACCAAACACAACCCCTTCTCACTCATTGCGGAAGCGGATATTCAGTCTACTGCGTAGCGCCCGCCTTAGGGCCACAGTTCTCCGCGCCGGGTCAATCATGATATGTTTGGTACGCGCGCTAGAAGATCCCCCTCCTATGGCGGCTGCCCTGAAGATCTTCGCCAGTGCATTCGGCCCTTTTATACATACCGCCGAGATGCGGTCCTGCGGGGCCCCGGACGGCACTTGGGCCGCCCGGGATCTCCGAGGATTGCGGGGAGCGGGTGGGATCGCCGGGCGTGGTACACGGAGTCGCATTGCCTGTTTCGGAAGTCTTCCGTAGGGAATAGACTGTAACACTGGTACTGTCCTTGCTCGCTCGCTAACTCCTAGCATGTGAAAAGCACCGTGGTTGGATCTGGACGGCCCGACTCAAGTTAGAGAATTGCTGCAGTGTTGGTCAATCTTGCCTTGTTTGCTGTGTACAGCCATAGCGGGTGCCTTGATACATGTAGTTGGGTGGGGGTTTAGAAGCTGTAGGACCTCGTTGCGATCTATAGCCATTGCTACGGGGCACCTCACGATGATGAGGTTCGCTATATGAAGCGCCATTCACTGTACCAAGCCTGGCCCCTTCAAGCAAGAAAGCCATCATCTCCCCATTACTTCCCACCCTTCACATTACTTCTACCCCTTCCCTAACAATCACTACCACCGCCACCACCACCAACCAGCACAATGCGCCACCCACTCCTAGCAGCAGCCGCAGCCCTCTGCACCTCCCGCATATCCGCGCTCCCCGCCGCCTCCTGGCGCTCCCAATCCATCTACCAGGTCGTGACGGACCGCTTCGCCCGCACCGACCTCTCGACGTCCGCGCCCTGCGACCCGGCCGCCCAGGTCTACTGCGGCGGCTCCTGGCGCGGCCTGATCGCCAAGCTAGACTATATCCGCGGGATGGGGTTCACGGCGGTGTGGATCTCGCCGGTGGTGGCGCAGGTTGAGGTGGAGGGGGGGTTGGCGGATGGGTGAGTCTCCGTCTTCTCTCTGTTGCTGCGTTTTCGTTGTGGTGCTTTATGGGGGGTTGGTTATTTTGTGCTGACTTGGCTGGCGGCGGTTGTTGTAGCTCGTCGTATCATGGGTATTGGGCAAAGGATATCTGGGCGCTGAACGCGGCGTTTGGGGATGAGAATGATTTGGTGGAGCTGTCGGCCGAGTTGCATGCGAGGGACATGGTGAGTGAGCCCGGGCATTCATGCCCATGCCCTGTGTGATCTACCGTTGGTGGATTGCTGATATGGTTGATGTCGCCAGTATCTCATGGTCGATATTGTTACCAACCATATGGCGTACGTGGGCTGTCGCTCGTGTGTCGACTACGGGCAGTTCAACCCCTTTTCATCGGTATGTTTTGGGCTGCCGTAACGTTGAGAGTGGGCGTGAGTTGTTGACTGACAGGTGGCAACCGCAGGCCTCGTACTACCACTCTCCCTGTCCTATTGACTACGACAGTCAGACATTGGTCGAGGTGTGCGTACTTCCCGCTTGATAATACGATGGTATTATGGTATAACTGACGCTGGTTTAGGTGCTGGCAAGGGAGTGACGTTGTCAGGTAGGTTGTGTTGTCCCCATACATGTCTCATCAGTACGTCCAAGCTAACTAGAGCTTAGTCTCCCAGATCTACGCACTGAAGAGTAAACACTCCCCAGCCATAACGCCGTATCCTAGTCTGCTGGTAACTGACACCATTCTTATAGCGAAGCTGTGCGAAGCGTCTGGAACGAGTGGGTGACGGAGATGGTTTCCAAATACTCCATGTAAGTCAACCTATTTTCTGCCAAGATAGCTTCTTGAGTCTCACACACTCGACAAACAGTGACGGCCTGCGAGTTGATAGTGCGAAACACGTCGAGACGTCGTTCTGGTCAGGCTTCTCGGACGCAGCGGGTGTGTATCTCCTCGGCGAAGTCTTTCAGGGGGACCCACTGTACGTGGCCCCTTACCAGCAGTATTTCGATGGCGTGACGGATTATCCTAGGTGAGGGAGAAGTCCCCTTTCGTATGGGTCTTGTACGAATTTAACTTTTTTGTCTAGCTACTACTGGATACTTAACGCATTCAAGTCACCCGACGGCAGTATCAGCGAGTTGGTCTCTGGCCTCAACACACTGCGTGGTGTGGCCCAAGACCCAAGCTTGTATGGCTCCTTTTTGGAAAACCACGACATTGAGCGGTTCCCTTCTTTTACGGAGGACACGGTAAGACTGCGCTGGGGTACCTCTAAAACTCCATACTTGGCAATGCTAACCGGTACCTTTTGCACAGGCACTGGTGAAGAATGTGAGTATACTTTCAACCCGGACCATTTATCTTTCAGATTCTGACGTAGAGGGCATTATCTTTGGGTATAGGCGATCGCGTTTACGATGCTCAAGGATGGTAAACGCCCACCATCTCCTCCCCCAACCGAATACAGTGTTCTAACCGGCCGTGGAAAGGTATCCCGATCATATACCAGGGCCAAGAGCAACACTACTCCGGCTCAGGCACCCCCCAAAACCGTGAGGCACTCTGGTCCTCCGGATATTCAGAGACGGCCGAATTGTACACCTGGATCGCCAAGCTCAACCAGATCCGGAGCCAAGCCATATCCCAAGACGACGGCTACCTCTCCTACAAGAGCAACCCCATTTACTCGGACAGCCACACCATCGCCATGCGCAAGGGCCAGCCCGGCGCGCAGGTCGTGGGCGTCTTCACCAATGTCGGGACCTTCTCGTCTGCTGAGGCCACCCTTCCCTCGTCGGCGACGGGCTTCGAGGCCGGCCAGGCGTTGGTTGACGTTATGGGCTGCACCGAGCACACCACAGACTCAGGGGGCGGTATCGCCGTCACCCTCGCCAGCGGGCTCCCGGTCGTGCTGTATCCCAAGGCCCGGCTCTCCGGGAGCGGTGTCTGCGATAACTCGACACGGTCGCTGTGATGATGATGGCCAGGACGTGAGTGACTGTTAACACTCTTGTCATTTTTTGAGGTGTATATGTAAATGATACGACATCACACGGCAAGATCGGCAATTCTTCTTTCCGTATTCTAGAACCGGAGTGACGACGATGCCGCCCAGCCCAATTCCCTGGTTAGGGAGGCCCATCAGGGGCAGCAGATCCGGGATGCTGACAGGGGTCGAGTCCGAGCCGCGCTTATCCTACCCCTTACCCGGCTTTAACGGCGGACATGGCTCGGTGGCAAATTCAAGGAAGGGGAGTGTATTGCTGCATGGAACTGCGTGGTTGTAACGAGGAGTGAGGCAGACCGGCATTTCATTCATCACATATTGTTTATTTTGGAAGGGCAAGAAATAGAATGCATCTCTGAACCGGGAAGAATCGAGAAGAACCGCAAGAACGCCCTATCATGCATGAAGATCTAGAACTGGGAAGAAGAAAACGAGAGAATCGAAAGAGAAGCCCTCTCTCCAATGCAAAAAAGACCCCCAACCCAACCCAACAACCAGCCCAACCCAACCCAACCTAGGTAACCCACCAAACCCATCCATAAAACCCAACCCAACCCCCAACCCCCAACCCCCAACACAACACTCACAGCCCAAACGCGGCCTTCGCCGCCGTCCAATACTTCATGCGATCCGGCAGCGACCCGTCGACGCCAATGCACTGGTTGTAGGCGGACCAGCCGGCGTCGGTGCCGGCCTTGAGCGTGTCGCGCACGTCGGCGCACTTGGTCTTGAGGAACCAGGCCGCCGAGCCAAAGTTGTGCTCGTCGGGCATCACCATGGCCAGGATCTCGTCGGGCGACTTGCCCGCCACCTTGTCCGCGCCGAAGAGCTCCGAGGCGTATTCTTTGTTGAACTGGAAGGGGGGGGTGGGGGGGTTAGTGACTGGTTTCGTAGGAGGGGGGGGTGTAAGAAACAAAACAAAACTTACATCCGCCATCTGCATATTCGCGGTCCCCTGGCCCGGGCGGCCCGGGCTGACATTATGCTTGAAGCGCATATCGACACTCTCCAGGCCCATGAGGGCGACCGTGGCGGCACATTCGCCGTCGCTGAGATCGGCGCAGGCTTCGGAGATGAAGGGGGCGGCCTGCTCGGCGGTGCGGCACTCGTCGGGGAAGTCGGCGCCGTCGCACGAGCTCGACTGCGGCATCACGGCCGCGATCGCCTTGGCCATGTCCACCTTGGATCCGCCGCCAGATCCGCCGCTGCCGCTGCCGGGGGTTGGGGTGGCGCCGGGGGCGGCTGCGGTGGCGGTGGCGGCTTGTCGGTGGGCGAGGGGGCAGGCGGCCGCGAGGGTGCTGAGGAGGAGGGCGGAGAAGTATTGGGAACGCATGGTGGGTGGTGGTGTGTTGTGGTGTTTTAGTAAGTGGGCGAGTGTTTCTGGTGAGGGAGTTTGCCAAAGGTCAACCTGGCTTATGAATGACAGATAGGTATGAATGAATGAATGAATGGCTGGAGCGAGTGTGCCGGGTCAACCAAGCAACAACAACAGCAAACTTATAACTGACCGCGTTCAAAAGCAGAAGAAGAGTACAAAGAATGGAACAATGTAGTTATGTGGCATTAAAATCAACGTTCATACGGACGACATGGCCGTCTAATATATACACCAACGCAACCGCTGATCACAAACAAACCGAACCCCTGACCCGAGAGAATGAGAGAATGGCTCCATCCACGGCCGTCCACCTCGTCTCTCACAGCGTCCAAACCCACTTGGCCAGTTTTGAAGCAATGTGATGCCAAGGCCTGGATTGGCTCAGGGCCCTTTCCGAGATGGGGTGGGGGCTGTCCCTCAGCTTACGATTTTACCCCTGAGCTCGATGTTTCAGGAGCAGGCAGCAACTGATTGGCCGCCCCTGTTTCCCGCAGTGGTTGCGTCTGGGGAGCTGGCCACTGGACGGGTTGGGATGACCACCCACAGGGCCAGTTTGCGAAGGCCGCCCTTTTTCCTTGCCTTGCCTGCCTGCATTTGCACCAAGGAAAGGGGAGGATCGTCACATCCTTGCGCCAAGCTTGTCACAAATTCTGGCCTCTGGGGAGGACGCCAGGCCCCGATCTCATCAACCCATCTTTTCGTGCCGTTTTCCGCGGGGAAACCCCCAAAAGTTCCGGGGATCCCCGGGAGTGGAACGGCGCCGAGAGCCAAGAATGCTTATTCGAACCCTCGACGGGTTTGTTTTGAGAGAGGGCGGAAACAAGTTGCCCAAGATGAGGCACAGCAAAACAAAATAACTGGTGTACATACATACATAAGCGCATACACCCACGACCCAACCAAACATGGCTGGCTCGCGCTGCACTGTTTAAACGCCGAAAACACCCCCTAGTCATGCACACACAACCCATGGAAAGCATTTGCTGCGAGTGGATTTGCGGCCAACAAATAACTATACATACGCGCCGATAATCTTCCAATAAACAACTGACTGCATTCGCTCCTGGAACAACGAGAAGGCGAGAAAGTTACCATCTAATCAGCTTCATTTTGTAAGAATTGCTATAAAAGATTGGCACAAACTGCCCTCTTCGGTAGTGGATTGTGGTGGTGAGCATGTTTTGCGGTAGGGCTTTTTTTTTTGCTGTCGCCCACTTGCCATCGTACCGAGATGCATTATCAAGCAGCCGGAAACCGGGGGTCATACTCCTCAAAGTAGGCCGGGTCAGCCCGCCGGTTAACTGGCCGGTTTTCTGGAGCCGCGCTGGCGCGGTACACTTCTGGGACCAAACCTGGCCGAGGGGCCTGGGTGTGTGTAACGTAGGGGCCGGCATTGTGCGGGGCCGCCGGCTCATCGTATAAGTACCGCGGGCCCGGCACGCGCCGTGCTGGCCGACGGATATAGTATTCCCCGTGCTCGTCGATGACGTGTACAATCTCGTATGCTTCGACCGGCGCTCGGTGAGCCATGTACCCATCATCACGGTACCTGCGGTGGTCTGTTTCTGGGAGCGGTGTCCCGTGGCTGGTGTCTTCCGCCCGGGAAGCTGGTGGGCCGAACCATTCTCCCTGGGTATGGCGTGGCAATGGCTCTCGGTAACCGGCCTGATTCCGTTGGAGGCCATAGGTGTCCTGTACACTCTCCACCGTCGCTGGCCTGGAGTAATAGACAGGGTCGGCTTCGCCTGGGCTCCTCCTTCCGCTGGCTGCGAAGAACCGCGCTCGAGCCTCCCTATCACCATGCTGGTCTTGTCCTCCTTGGTAAGTCTGGTATTTGGGGGGCATTTCCGGGTACGATGCAGAATCCACCTGTTGGCCTTGAGCCTGGGGCAACGGCCTCTGATCGACGTACGACTCCTCGCCTGCCATGACGCCGGATTCTCGCTCTTTATCCGTTGGCGGGGCCAAGTAGCTCCTTTCAAGCTGGTGTGACGCCCGAGCACCCGATTGTGTTAGGGACTGATCCTGGGTGGCAGCTCCTTCCCCCCCATGAACGTCTTTGCCCTCGTGGACTGCTCGCCCCTCTCGGGCCTTTTGCTGCTCGCGAGCTTTGTTCTCTTTCGCTTTCAATTTCTTCTGGCGCCCAAGCATTTTCCTCTCCCCGAGACTTTTTTTCTTGCTCAGCCCTTTTTTTGCGCCCTGGTTCTTGCTAAAACTCTTTCCGGATTTGTTCCCCGGCGCCCACTCGTCAGAATCATGTCTGTTTTGAGAACGCCCGTCTCGATTTTCGCCAGCCGCCTCTTCGCCGTCATGCGATCCACTTTCCCCGCGGTTAAGCTGTGATCCATAGGACGGCGAGTTCCGGCCACTGTCGCTGTGTGTCACTGGACGCTCGTTTTCTGAAAGGGGTTTCGGAACGGTGCTGCGGGTTGACTCTCCCGAGGCGCGGTAGCCGACGAAGTGGTTGGCTCCCGCAGACCCCATGGCACTGGAATAACCCGAGTAGTTGCTGGCTACCAGCGGCCCTTCCTGGGCATCCGTTGTGCTAGTGGGGCGCGGCTCACTGGAAATCTGTCCGTCTTGGCTGTCAAATACAGCTGGGAATGCGGCTGAGAGCAGGGCTTTCTGAGGCTCGTTGGCCGACGAAGCGATGCTTGGGAGAATGGCAAGATCGGGAATCAAAACCATGTCGATCACCCAGTCCAGCGGTGCGGCGGCCGTTTGCAACCTCTGCATCGGTTCGATGTGCTTGGACTGGAAGTGGTTCGCGAGCTGTGGTAGAGAGAAGTCCTTCCTATCTTGCTCTACTGAAACTGCGTTGCCCAGTCCCAAGTGGCAGGCCTTGCAAACAAGCCCGTTGACGTTGCGGACGGGGCGCATCTCCTTGTTGTGGGATAGGCCGTCGATGAACATTGCTAGCGGCGGCGTCTCATAAAACCGATACCGAAACCTCTTGACTAGATGGTGGATTGTCACAAAGACCCTAACGTTGCCGGGGAGATTTCGGATATCACCCAGAGCTCGCCACACCTCGCGGGAGTTACGGGCAATGTCGTCCACCTGGATTTGGCCGAGACTCGGGTAAGTCGATGGCTGGGATGGAATATGTTGACCAACAACGCCATTTGCCTGATATGACCCATAATGATAATCGTAGTGCCCACTACCAGAAGGCGCAGGGCCTAGCGATATTTCAACGGGTGGGTTTGTATAAGGAAAACCAGCGGCCTGATAAACGGGATGAAAGGTAGACGGAGCGGCATAAGACGGCTGTTGCTCATAGCTCGTCGCCAGCACAAATGGAGCAGCAGCGGCGGGTTGCGGTTGGTAAGGTTGCGGCGGCGGGGGTTGCAGTTGCGGATAGTGGCCACTGTACGTTGGCGGAATGTATCCGTATGGATAACTAGGGCCCGGGGGCCCGGGCGCAGTCCCTGGTGCCTGATAAACGTGATTGGGAGGGAAAGGTGCACCTCCATTGACGGCAAAGCCACCCGGAGCGCGAGGGTGGAGGGAGCCTTTCCCAGATCGGGCTGTCGCGCTGAAAGGCGGGTGTTCCGGCCATTCGGCTCGCCAGTGAACAACAATGCTCCCCAGGCTGAGGGCGCTCGTATGTTTCGCCGCATAATGTTGGATGACGCCCTCGAAACCAAACGCCTTGTAGTTTCCCTCGCATCCATTGCAGTAAAAGATCTCCTTGCGCAACGGCTCGGTGTAGGGCTTGAACTTCGCGTCAAAGATCCACTTCATGTTTTCCAAGGTCAATTTCTGGGTGAAAGGGCCCTCAGGGGGGTCCAGGGGCAGTGATTTGCCAGCCGCCTTCGCAGCGGCGGCATCCTTGGCGACTTCGGCGTAGAACCTCGTCCGAACGTAGATGAGCGAGTCAACTGCAAATCGTGAGCAGCTCTCTCTCGTGATTTTCTCGCCTTCGTCCCAACTGTCCCGGATGACTTCGTCTGCATAACCGGCTATCTTCGCGCGCAAAGGAGCCTGTGTCACCTCCCACTGCTTGTCAATGCGGTCACGAGCCTCCTTATTCGTGGCCAGAGTGGTGGTCTCGAGAGGTGATTGTCCCTCGAACTCTTGTTTGCAGGTAGGCTCGGTTTTGCGCTCACTCTGCAGCATTTTTTCCGCGTCAGCTCGCTGGGCTAACAACCGCGGTTTGAGTCGCTCCCAAGCCCCATCATCCAGTTCGGCAACGATTTGGGTCGCGGCTTGAAAAGCAAGGGTGTGGGCAAGAACCTCAGCGGTCAGCGGTGGATTCAACAACGAAGCCCGTCGTTCAATCTCAGCCTTCCTAGCCGCCTTTAGCTCCGCAGCCTGTTCAGCAGTTCGTTCCTGGCGTCCCAGGGAAGACATTGTGGCAGGGATTGGGTTTGTTGACGACTTTTGCGTCTTATATCCCGGATAGAGCAGAGAACGCATCTTGGCGAGACCACCAGATGATTCCCACTTCTCCCATTTTGATGCATCCTGCTGGAGGTCGCTGCCTCGGCCGGGGAGGCCCTTGAGCCATTCGTTCACGGTTCCTTGGCCCATATCTTTGACTTGGAGAAATTCCGCCTGGAGAGCTTGGGCGTCTGACTTGGAGAAAAGTTTGGTAACCTCTAGATTCGCGGGAATCTGGTTCGCCTCGAACATAGTAGCCGTAAAAATATCGCAATCTTGGGTGAAGAAGACGAAGGGAAGCGCGGGGATGATGGCGGACGGTATGGATGGCGATATTTGCAGGTCGAGCTCCTACCCACAAGGTTAGTTAGACAACCCATCACTTCGTCACCGTTCGAGCCATTCACAAACCTTGTCAGAAGCCTTCAGAAGACAAGCCGAGCACATGCGGGTGCCAAAAGCCCATATGACCGCCACACCCTCGGTGCCTGGGCCAGGATGTAGGGGGTTGCGAGAAGTCGGCCCCCGAGCGTGGACTTTGCCGCAGTCTTGACACCTAGGGGAGCAGGCAAGCCGCCACATATCAAGCTCAGAACTTGACCGTAGCGGGGCAGGCATCTGAGGCCAGAAGCGGCGGCGCGAAGCTTGCCATATGGCATTGGGTTCCATAAGCTTGAGTACACCCTGTGTCACAGAGGAAAGGTTTGCCCGAACCGGCAACGTAGGGTCAAGGTAGGCGTTGAACCGTTTATTAACAGACAGCAGACTGCCTAACGATTTGGGCGGGCAGTAGGTGAAAACACAGTGCCATATTTCCTGGGGTAAAAGAGACCGGTCTTGGCCCGGGAGAGTGCCTGGTGGCGAGACTGACATGGTGCCCTGCTCTGCGTGGCTTGCCGGCAGCTTGATTTTCTTGGGCCCATGACCCAGCCCACGACTGGTCGCCTCGGCGAGGCCAGACTCAGCGTCATCGCCAGACGACTTGCGTTTTTTCCCAATGGCAAGTGGGCCGTCCCTTGCGCTGGGTTCGTCGTAGTATTCATTGTCCATCGTGTCCCAGTTGCCAAGGACCACCAAGGCTATCTCCGAGCTAACACGGCCGCCGCCTTCTACCAGACTCCTCGCGAGAAGGGGCGCTAGTGTTTAGCTATTATCCGCGCCGCCGGCATGCGCGTCTTTGGGCATGAAGCGAAACGGCAAGGCCGAGGCATGAAAGAACAGGAGAAAATACGAAGGAGGCCACCGTACGTTGGATAGGACAGTGGTTGTGTGACAGGAATGAAGCGGAGATAACACTTGTCAAAGAAAGAGAAATATGAACGAGTAGACAACGACCAGGGATGTGACCGTTGTCTCCGAGGAGCTTCTATCTTGTGGCTGTGAGAGCCAATATGAACTTGGTTGGCAGCTAGGCCAAACGCCAATACGGGAGGAGAAGTCCTATTAGGCTTGCTGTATTGGTGTGGGAATGGAACATGCCCGGCGCGCCGCTGGCTGAATAAAGAACCGAGAAAGGGTCGCGAGAACTCTGCAAATCGCGGGTGAAAATGAACACAGAACGAGTCGATGACGAGTCGATGGGGGTTCGGTAGGAAGCACCCTGGTGTGGCCCGTCAATCAATCAATCGCGCACCAAACAGAGTGCGATTGTGTAGAGTTTATGGCGAAAAGCATGGACGCGTTAGTTATGAAGAAAGAGCAAACCCGAATCGGTCAGTCCGTCAAGCAGAAAAGTCAAAAGTTAGTTAATGGAGTTAACTAGTGGGGGCCGTTGGGAAGGGCTCCCACTAACGTAATCTATCACCTTTCCGGCCACTTTCCAGCCCCGCACCCCACCACGTCCACTTTGGATGCACCTTACCATGCCATCGTACCCAGCAAAATGCCAAAGCCTCTGCAGCACGAAGAACGGATCCAATCAGCGGTCGAGGCCTTACGTTCAGGCGAAACCCAAAGCATTCGCAAAGCTGCGGCTGCATTTGATGTACCAAGGGCGACTCTGCAAGAACGCGTCAAAGGGGGTGCTACGCGTCAACAAGCGCAAGTCAAGAACCGAAAGCTACACCCAACTGAAGAAGCAGCCTTGATTCAATGGATCGAGTCACTGGACGACCGTGGTATGTCGCCAACGATCAGCTACATTCGACAAATGGCCGATCTTCTTCTCCGCGAGCGTGGAAACTTGATGTTGCTCGACGCGTCTATCGCAACTACCCCGGTCCCTGCAATGACTGTTGGCGAGAACTGGGTTCATCGGCTTCTTGATCGGCATCCCCATTTGAAGACGAAATATTCAAGAAAGTATGACTATCAGCGAGCCTTATGCGAAGACCCAGAGAAGATTTCAGCGTGGTTTGCACGGGTGCAAAAGACGATCAACGAGTACGGAGTCCTCGGCATGGATATCTACAACTTTGACGAGACCGGCTTCCAGATGGGTGTTGCAAGTACATCTAAAGTGGTTGGTCTGACCGACGGAACCGACCTGTTGTTATTCAGCTAGGGAACCGAGAGTGGACGACAGTCATTGAATGCATCAACGCAACTGGTTGGGCACTTGATCCATTGATTATCTTCGAAGGGAAAGTCCACATTTCAACGTGGTACGAAGGCTCACTCTTGCCGAAGACATGGCGGATTGGAGTTAGCGAGAACGGCTGGACAACCGATCAGCTTACTTTCGAGTGGCTTCAAGAGGTCTTCGAGCCACAAACTCGAAACCGAACTGTTGGTCGTTATCGGCTTCTTATTCTCGATGGTCATGGAAGTCATTCGACGCCTGAATTCGACAAATTCTGTACTGAGCATCGGATCCTTACAGAGTGCATGCCTCCGCACTCGTCGCACAACCTCCAGCCTCTTGACGTCAGCTGTTTCGCTGTGCTGAAGCGAACGTACGGCGACTTTGTCAAAGCGATGATAGCACTCGGGGTTTATCACATCGACAAACCAAGGTTCCTCGAACTGTTTCTTGAAGCTCGGAAAAAGACGTTCAGCACAAGGAACATCGTAAGTGGCTTTAGGGCTACAGGGCTCGTGCCTCTCGATCCAACTCAGGTTCTTTGTCGGCTACAAACCAGGATACGGACACCGAGCCCCCCTCCTACCCCTATCCAACCGCCAAGTCTGCCTCTCAAAACGCCAGTAAACACAAGAGGGACCGTGCCCGCTGCGCGCGTGCCCGCCAAAGGAAGCCTGGAGGAACGGGCCGGCGCAGGTAACCCATAGCGGCATCAGAATATAATTGGTCGATCGGTTTTAGGACGGTTGACGAATGTTGGGAAAGCAAGCAACAGCAGTTCTTTGGTCAACCTCAAAAGCTAGTCATACAGCCGCGCCTTCTTCCCGCTGTGGATCTCTTGCTTCTGGCCGGTTCCGGAGAGCTTGGTTCCTTTGTTTTCTTTGTCGGGGTCCTGCTGCTCGAAACGGGTTGAGCGTCCAATAATTCTTCTGTGTCCGAAGCATCGTTCGAGTCGTCGCCATGTAGATCAATAGTTGGGTGAGCCGTGGCTGTGGAAAGGCGGTGATATATACCTGAAGATGAACCTGTGGGCATCTGATCGGGATCGGCCGTGATCGAGTCTAGCTGTGCTCCAGGGCTGGATGGTGGTTTGGTCGCTTCGCGTTCTGCGGTTTCTGGGGCAACCGGCGAGGAAGATGGATTCTGAGGCAAGGAAGTGGGATTTTGAGCACGGCCTAGTGAAGAGAACGGGTTTCTGCTTGCGACTACTCCGGGGCCAGCCGATCATGGTGTCGTTGGTAAGTTGTCGACAGAGTCTGATGATTTCGGCGTGGGTGTATTGTTGGTAGACGGGGGATTCTGCCGAATGAATTCCCAATTGTCGGCGAGAATCACCAGAATTCGAACAGTGGAATTGACTTTCCGAGATCCTTGGATCAGGTCGCGGTCTAGGACCCCCAAGAGTCGGCCACTGCACGTGATCCACGACCCCTTGGGAAAGGGGTTCGCGGCGGTCTGCATCCACCCGGCCAGAGACTTCCAGGGTTGCTGGTCGACGGGGAAGAGAACGGGGACGTGGCATATGTGTATGCCCTCGCGAGGAGGGCGGTCGTTTTCTGGCTGCAAGTAAGACCCGAGTTTGGCGAACACCGAAGTCTTGACCAGCGGCTCCGGCCAGACTCCTTGCTTGATATGGAAGGTATCTAGCTCGACGGGGCCGGGAAAGGACACATGTGCTGAAGTGCTTGGCCAAGGAGCTGTCTGGTCGGGACCATCGAGTTGGCGGGGGATGACACTTGGAAGTGTTAGCAGCCAGGTCCTGCTCCAGTACAAAATAATGGGGCGTACGGAGTCAAGCCGCCATCACGGGGCAGTGCCAGCGCCACCTGTACGGACTGGGTTTCGTCTGTCTCCTATCTATTAACGCCTACGCCTTGGAAGGTAAGTTTGAGCAGGACAAGAAATTTGTAGAGGTAGGTATCAGGATCCTCTTGGCGTAGAAGAAAAGGGTTTACAAGTCACATACAGAAACGCAGTCCTGCACCTCACCCTCTTCGTTCCATGGGAAAGGTTTCAGGCTGAGCCAGCGGACGATATACCAGGACTTTGGCGGTCGCTCGAGGGCCAGCTGGGCGCCCGAATCCGCTCACACGTCCAGAATATCGCTCTGCTACGCGTCTCGGCGGACGATGCCCGTGCTGACCGAAAGCTGCAAGGGCTAGAACAGGAAAACGAAGACGTCGTCGACGGGTTTGACTTTGAGGACCGGGAAGGGGACGATGACGGTGTCGGACTGGATGGTGGGGGCATCGATCCACAGGACCATTACGAAGCTTTCTTGGATGTCCTTTCAACGATTCAAGGTAGCGAGATCAAAGATATGACAGCGACTTCGGCGCTGAGGCGCTTGGACGAAGAGGCGAGGGCAGTTGACCCAAGCCAGGACGACAACAATGCTGCCCAGCGTGGTCGCCATTTCTATACCATGCTACAGGACCTCCAAGACTCGCCTTTCCGCGGCATGGGACTGCCCAGCCGCGAGGAGATCGACGCGGTATTGAAGGTCCAGAAGAAAGAGGACAGCAGCGTCACGGCAAAGATCCAAGGCAGGCAAACGAATCCGTCTTCTGCGCATGCCGGCGAGCCACACGGGAGCCCACGGTTGCCCATTCACGGATGCGAAAGATCTCCAGAAGGGGTCGGCCCGGGCGGACAGATGCGGCTCGAGCTCGGACGTTATGCAACATACGTCGATGTGGCCCTGGGGCTCACAAGGCACTGGACCCTGAACAAGCTCCAGTCGATGGCAGTCTTACTACCAGCGGCGTTTCTTGACGAGCGCGGCACACGGCTGCAGGAAGAAGGGGGTCGGCAGCATTTCCAATACATCGGCGGCGAGGGCGGCACCGGCAAGTCTCGCGTCATACACGCCATCAAGGACATGTTCCGGCTGAAGGACGGTCTCCACACGCTGCTCTTGACGGGCGCCAGCGGTAACGCGGCCGCGCTTATCGGCGGAGTGACGCTGCACTCGGCGGCAAATATTGGGTTTGAGGGCAGGGCAGCGACAACAAAGAACATCTCGGAAGAAGAGAAGCTGCGGTGGAAAAACATGATCATGCTGGTTATCAACGAGATCAGCCAGGTGGGCGGTCTCACGCTCGCGGCGGTGGACAGCCGCCTGAAGCAGTACAGAGACGACCAGCATCGACCGTTCGGCGGGATCCCAATGGTCATGTTCTTTGGTGATTTCTTCCAGTTCGACCCCGTCCTGCAGACCAGCCTCCTCTTACCAACGCCTAGGGACCCCGGTGGACAGAGACCGGACAGCTCGGCAAAGCACCTAGCAGCGCATAAGCTGTTCCTCCAGTTCACGAACGTCGTCATCCTCCGCGAACAGGTCCGCGCAGCCGGCTGTCCAAGGCTGCGGGGCTTCCTCCGGCGCCTGCGCAGTGGGGAGCAGACAGAGCTGGACTTCCAGCGGCTGAGCCAACGCGTCTATACACCGTCGTGCGAGTCCTCCTTCGTAGATGGTTTGAGAGCCATCACACCTCTGAACCAAGACCGGTGGGACCTCAACATGGCGGCCGTCGTCCAGTGGGCTCGTGCCCACGGCAAGCACATCTCCATCTTTGTGGCCAAGCACGATACCGATTCGGGGAAGCGACTAAGTGTGGAAGAGCTGTGCCGCGTGCTTCGCTACGGAGACGACTCCCAGCTGCCAACCCCGGGCTTGTTCTTCTACGCTCAAGGGATGCCGGTGGTGGTGACTCGCAACCAGTTTGTCGGGCTACAGGTGGTCAACGGGGCGCCTTTCAAGGCCGTCGACATCTTTCCCGACCTCGCCGCCGGCACCATCGCGCTCGCCAGCGATGTGACTCTTCATCTTGGACCGCCGGTGGCCGTCCTCCTTCAGTCAGACGACAGCGCGGGCCTCGCCATCCTCGGGCTCCCCAATGGCACCATCCTGATCAAGAGCAAGACGGTCGCCATCCCGAGCCAAATGCGGGGCAAAGAAGGCAGATGGAGGGGCAAGCCGGGTTTTCGGCGGGTTACCCATAGAACAGGACCTTTTTGTACGCCGGCCTTCGCCATGACAGATCAGAAGAGCCAGGGAAAACAATTCTCGGACGTCCTCGTCAACCTCAAAGGCGTCCACTTTGGCGGCACGGCGACTCGACCCAGCTTCATGAGCCTGTACGTGCAGCTGTCGAGGGCGCAGAGCTGGGACGGGCTGCATCTGTTTCGGAAACCGGCGCGCGGTGACTTTATCGAACCCAAGAATGTGCTTGATAAAGACATGAAGGAGGCCATCCTCAAGCTGGAACGACAGGGCGAGGAAACCAGACGGCGGTTCGAGCAGGACCACAGGCACGAACCGTGATTCCAGGAATGGGACGCCATGGCCGAATCAGCGCAGGCCACTGAAGCCGCTGACGAACAAGCGGGTGCGTCGCTCTAGTGGTATAGTCACCCATAATAGATGTCCATCCTGAAAACGTCATTTTCGCCGCTTTTTAACAGAAACGGTCCGTACAGGTTAGAAATGACACCGTTTTGTAGGGTTTTTTGGGGGTGTTTTTTATGGAGAAGAAACTGGTCCGTGCTTAGAGCAGGCCATGGCATTTTTGACCTAAGGAACCTGGAGTTCCTCCAGGCACTTTGTCATTTTTCCATTGTTCAACCTCCCGCCTCTGCGCCGTCTACGCCGCATACACCCTCATTCTGGGCACACTCTGGGTAGAGAAGACCCAAGCCAGCAAAACCAACTGCAGAAGCCAAGTCCCGCTTGATTGGCGAACATAAAACAAGACTCCACCTTGGGGTTTCAGTCTCGGTATTACCAGGTGTATCCTCGTTTTATTCTCGCGCAAGCGGTCAAGATTGTTACATTTATACACTAATCTTTGAAGCCTCCTTGTGAGATGACAGGGAGCTAACTCTCTGCCATCCCTTACCTACTGCATGTACATCATATCCTAAACAGATGGATGATACATGACATGAAGAACTTGGAACAGTTCATGGTACGTACCTACCACGATTTATTCGGGTCAAACATCCAACTCAGGCAATTATTCGAGCCATATCCGCCCTGCTTGCCGTTCTCACCGCCACAGTCGCAGCTATCGACAGGGGTCTTGAGGTAGTGCAGACACTCGTCGAAGTCAAAGGTCCACACGCAGCCCTCCTTGACCTCAAACGTCCAGTGAATCTCCTCGCTCCCGCTGAACGGCAACCTACCGTCGACCAGGAAGGGCCCTTCTATCTCGCCGGTCCCGCGCTTTCGGCCCGAAACCCCGGCCTGCATGGCGAGGTTGTTACACGCCGAATTGCGGCCGTTCTGCAGCCGAATGTTGCTCATCTTTTGCCCGCTGTTGAAACAGTGGATCGTGTTCTTGTTGGGATCGGCGCGGTTCTTGGTCGGGGTCGGGGTCGAGGGCGCGGTCGTATGCGTCGGGGTTGCCGAGGTGGTGGTGGTGGATGTCTCCGGGAGATCGCACGGCTCAAGCGCGTCAGACGAGGTACCATTGCCCGTGATTTCCGGCACGTCCCAGCCCCAGCCCCAGCCGAAGCCGTTGCCGTCGGGGCCTAAGGGGATCTCGCCGAGGCCCGGGCCGAAGTATCCCGGGCAATCTTTCACAAGATCGCTGTCCCAGTAGCTGGGGTTTGAGGCAGCCTGCCGGCACAGCCACTCCTTGGCCTTCTCGTCGATATCGGCGTTGGGGTCGACGGCGGCGGCGCGCACCACCAGCGGCTGGGCCGGCCAGGCGCCCATTTGCGGGGGCGCCGCGCCGGGCCCGATGGACGGCGGGGGCGTCGGGAAGGCCCCCGTCGGGCTGGCCGTCGAGGTCTCGCCGTCCGGGCCGCGATAGATGACGGCGGGCCAGTTGCTGGTCGTGGCGGGGACGGGCCAGACAGTCCCGAACGCGGTACGGCGCTTTAGCCCCCCGCCACCACCTTCGTCCAGCGTCATAATCTCGAAGCCCAGCTTGGACAGGGTCATGGGTGGCACCGTGATGGTGCTCGTCCAGGCGTCCTTGCTGACCGTCATAAGCGGGAAGTTAACGACCGAGGTGGCGCCTGTGTACGGGGGGAGCTTGACCCTGCAAGGCGGCGCGCACGAGAACTCGGGCTCATCCATGTTCCAGATGTCCGGATGGATCCAGATGATGTCGTTGAATTGGGCGCCGTCGCTGGCGACGTCCAGAATCGAGATTTGCGACCAAAAGGGGTGTGCGTCCACGTTGAGGTTGTCCGCGGCCAGGATGCCCTGGCCCTCCATAACGGCCATGTACTTGGTGCCGATGGTAACGAGGTTCTGGATCCGCACGCTGGCGTGGTTGCCCTGCAGCAGAATCATGGCCTTTTGGCATGCCTGCCCGTCGATGCAGTCCTGGGCGTAGGTCGAGAACCACGAGTACAGGCCGGCGCTTGTGATGAGAATGTCCTCGCAGCCGCGCATGATGACGCCCCAAGACTCGTCGCAGCCGTTGAACTCACCGGGGGCGCAGGTATAGTCCGGGTCGCCGGGGAACTTGCCCACAACGCCAGCAAACGGAGCGGGAGGCGGGGGGGTCGGCTGGTAATAGGGCGACTCGGTCTGGATCATGCTGGTGAAGATGGTGGAGGCGTTGTGGAAGTTGTACTGGTAATAGACGGCGTGCTCCGACGCCGTGGCATAGAGCCAGACGGGCGCGGTGCTCTCGATCAAAAAACCACGGGCCGCGTACACCGAGTTCTGTACCATGGTGTTGTTGGCGTCCTCGAGATCCGGGTCGTCGATCATGTGGTCGGCCACCCACAGCCACATATTCTCAAAATAGCCCGACGCGCCCGGCTTGAGGTGCATCATCAGGCTGGCGGCGTTGCAGCCTGGTGCGATGCCCGAGGTCAGGGGCGGACACTCGGCGGGCGTCAGATCGGTCCCGGTAGCACCGCCAATACGGACGTGACAGTCCCAGAGGGCAGCCGACCCCTTGGAGTCGGCGGCCATGTTCCATTCGAGAAGCACGGCGCCAGCCGTTGGCCCCTTCGTGGTAAAAAACAAGTCCTGCATCTCCACGTTACCCACCACGCCCGGGGTCGCACCCACACGCACCATAACCTTGGGGTTGTTCGCATCAGAAAAGGCGGATCCGAAGGCTACGAATTGCGACCAGGTCTCGCCGACTATCTTGACGTTGGTTGGCACCACCACGGTGTCAGTCAGGATATAAGAGCCGGCGTCCACAAACAAAATCTTGCCCTGGCTGGAGTACAGCGCGCTCTGGACGGCGGCGGTATCGTCTGTCACCCCGTCGCCCACGGCGCCAAAGTCTTTGATATGGACAAAATCGCCCACAGCGCGGTCTTCGTACTGCGGCTTGGGACGCTCAAAGTAGTTGCCCGACGAGTCGACGAGTCCGCCATCTCGGCGGTACCGGCCCACCTTACCGCCCATCGAAAAAGAGCGCGCGCTAGCCGAGCCGTCGTACACGGGGCCCAGCACCCAGTGGTCGACAAGCGACTGGCCGGCTCCGGACAGGTGCGTCGTGCCGCTAGTATCGGCCACGACGGCCGTCACGCCCGAGACAGCCACGTTTTCGAGCACCAGGCCCGTGCTGCGCGAGGCCACGTCAGCCGAGGGCGGCGACACGAGGACGGCAGCGCCGACGTTGGTGAAGGAGGAGTCCAGGACGGCCGCCGAGCCGACGGACCCCGACGGGTCCTTCACCACGAAGCGGAAGCCGACGTTCACGTTGGTCATGGTGACCGACTTCCACACCCAGCCCCAGTCCCAGAACAGGTGAACGGCCGTATCGCAGCCGTCGAAGCGCAGGCGTTGCGCCGTGAACTGCTGGGCGCCGCCGTAGAGCCCGACGTCGCCACCGCTGAAAACCACGTCCGAGATCTGACCGCCGCTACCGTTCTCGGCGTACATACCCTTGGAGCCCGGCCCGGCCCGCAGTTCCACATTCTGCAGGCTCGTCGCCTGCGCGACCTGGTAGTGCAGGCATGCCGTGTCCTCCTTAACGGGAGCATTGCGCACATCGATAATCAGATTGCGGATCTGGCGGTAAAAGTTGGCCGTGTTGACGTACCACTGCTGGTCGCCCCCGTCGGGTCCGGTGCCCCCGCCGGTGTACTCGTCCGTAGACAGCACGCCCAGGCCAACAAACGACGATGAGGCAATAATCACGGGCCGGTCAAGGACATCGCCAATAACCTGCGTGCCGAAGGGCAAGGGGATGGTGCTCGAGACGAGATAGGTGCCGGGTGGGAAGTAGACAATGGCGTTCTTGGTGGTGGACCCGTTACACTTCTCGCCGCAGCGCCGGCCGTCGTTCAGGGCCTTCTTGATGGCCGCCGTGTCGTCGGTTACGCCGTTTCCGGTGGCGCCGTAGTCGAGCACGTTGCGGAAGACCTTGTATGTCGGGTCGTCGCCCCACGGGACGGTGCCTTTGCGTGCGATGGTCTCCATCCAGTACGTGCCTCGGACAGGGGCCCGGCGCTTGACGCCGCTCGAGCTGGAGTTGGACGGATTAGCATGGGTGGTTCCCGAGTTCACACCCCCGGGCAGTGCGGTGGCTTCGGCTTCGGTCACGAGGGCCGCGGCCCAGGCGATTTCCTCGGTGATTGCGAGGAGCGGAGGAGGGGGGGACGCATCGCTGTCATCGCCACTCTGGTCTCGTCGTGTGTTGTTGTTGTTGTTGTCGTTGTTATTGTTAGGCGCCGTTGCAACACGGCCGCCGATTACGGTGCCAGGCTTGAGACGATACTGGTTGCGCGCCGGGTTGGCCAGCCGCGCCTTGTTCCGCTTGGCGGAGGCAGTGATAGCATCGGCCACGATGCTCCGGGCCCTGGCGAGGTCGGCGGCGGACGCAGTCTTCAGTAGAGGCTTGCCGTCGGTGGAGTTCCAGCTGGACGTGACTTGGCGTTTGGGAGCGGTTTTGGGAGTCCTGGCTCCAGCAGTGTTAGGGCGCGGCGTCATTGCGCGGCTGCTCAGGTCGGCGGAAGAGCCGGCAGCTCTCATCTCGATGCCACCCAGCCCGCCCAATAGGCCCTTTTGGGCTACAGCAGACCCGTTGATGTGGGCGGGGATGCCGATACGGAAGCCGTGGCCAGCCAGCAGACGCTGATACGTCTGCTCTGCGGTGAGGTTGGTACGCCCGGGTAGCAATCGGGGCGTGCGTGCCGGTTCGTCTGGGTTGTTGGCTGGCGTCTCCTCTCTTTTAGCTTGGTTGACGAAGCTGAAATCAGTTTCAAGGTTGAGGACGTCATCGCTGCGGAAGATGGTGGCGGCATAGCCGTCCGGCCCCATGTCAAAGGCGGCAAAGTCGAAAAAGGCCACGTCGTACTCTGGCTGGTCCGGATTGTGCCATGGAAACTCGGACTTGCGTTCTCTAATGTGACTCAGCAGCAACGCGCGCAGCTTACCGTGCGCCTCACCCTGCCAGTTCTGCTCGGCCTTGACAGCCACGCCGCCGGTGTTGGAGCCGGCGACGATGCACGACATGCCGGCGCAGAAGGTGTTGGCCGGCGTGGTGCGGTCCCAGCCGTTGCCGCCCTCGACCCACGTGGCGGGCGGAAACTCGTCGCACGAGTAGCGCAACTGCGAGTACCGCGTAATCTGGCCCTGCGCGTTGCGCTCGTGCATAAGGGTATTGCTCTTCGTGTTCGGCTCCAGCGCCGTTGACCACCACGACCCGTCATGCCGCCACAGAGTCTGCTGGCCCACCGCCTCGGGACACGTGTGCGAGTCCTTCCACGTCTTCGGGCACGATGCCTGGCGTCGGTAGTACTGGCGTGTTTCGGGGTCATCGTCATCGGCCTCGCCGCTGTCAAAGTCGTACGTGTACATGCCCGCCGGGATCGACGTTCCGGGATGCAGATCCCGCCCCCGTGCCGTGGCCTTGAAGTTATTGACATTCTGGCAGATGTTGGTCATGTAGTGGCAGTTGTAATAGATTGTGATTCTTTGCTTTCGGGTGTCAATGACGTTTCGATACACCGCCATGTTGTCGGGCGTCGGTCGGCTGCATTACTGTAATTAGATTGTTGGTCAACCAGAAGGAGAATCCGAACTCACTATTTGTAGCCATCGTAGAACGTTGGCGGGTTAGTCGTCGGGTCTAATATTCGAACTGCTACAAAGTTCTGGAGGTACTGAGCCGCTGCCCGAGAGCTGGGATCCAAGGCAAGCAGGGCCACCGCCAACCACATGGCATAGCGTAGGAACAACAACGCCATGGTCACTGCAGAGTGGCAGCCCGGCAGACTGTTGCTGAAAACGAATGGAAGGATGCACAGGCCGTGATGGAGTGGACGAGCCTTGGGCTGTTTCCTTGAGTTCCATGGAAGGGTCCCCTTATATCATGTTGCCGACCTCCCAGTCCATCTGCCGTCTGGTCGGCTCCATGTCGTTTCCGTACCTCCGCGGTAGTCGGCGTGGTCGTCGCTTTCTTTCGAACTTCGGTTGCTGGATACATGTATCCAATTTCATCATCCCCCTGTCCATGTCCCGTTGGGGGCCGCGCTTGGTCGCAATATTGATTGTCATTGACAAGCGTGAGGCTGCTGCGTCTATTTTTGGGATGGCATCCAGGGTCTAATGCTCGCATCATTCGAGACTACGACCGTGAACCAACAGACTACTACCCTGAACCAACACAAGTTCCGCGATAGCTTCGAAATCTTGATGCAGAGTAAAGGGGGGAGGTAACATAATTCGGTCAGTTGGTTCAAAGTTATTGTGAAAATTTTCTCACAACCGAGTTGAACCCTGTCTAGATTATTGACCGGAGGGAGATAGAGCAATGACGGAGCGGGCCACAGGTGGTTCACCAATTTGATGGGGGAGGATTTCTCCATATATCAGAGCTTGAGGTTGAGGCTGCAACTTTGCCCGTGGGCCACCAGAGTGCTGCTGCTCCTCATATCCCCCATCGAGCTTGCATTGTGAACACTCGGTGACTTCCAGGCTTTCAGGCAAAACTGTAAATCAGCCATGAAGTCCCTTCACCGCAATGGCGCGCTCCGGCGCGTCGTTTTGTTCCTCTCTATTGTTTCAAGTTTGGTGTCCGCTCAGGACGAGTCCGACTGTCAACCATACCGATGGAATTCCGGCGGGTTCAAAGTGTTGCAGGACGCGGCCGACCCGTTACCTACCCAGGGAATCCCCATCCCAGTCACCGTGGGCGAAATCAACTGCCGATACTGGTCGACCACGCCCGCCGAGGTCAACTACTACACATGTTCACAGCTAGCACTGCGGTACAGCATTTCCAACGACATCTTCTTCCGGCTGAACCCAAGCCTCGCAAACGACTGCAGCGATGTGCAGCCGGAAACGGAGTACTGCGTTAGGGGCTGTAAGTGATGTGCCCACTGCCCACGTATGAAAATGAGGGGGCTGAAGCTGACTTGATCAAAGTTATCGAGCCGGTCAGGGCCTTCGACGGCAAGTGTGGCCCTCCCAACAACAATGCCACCTGCTTGGGCACCGACAAGCAGTGCTGTAACTCGGAGACATGGACATGCGGCAACTCGACGGCCGACTGCGCTCCTGGCACGTGCTACGAAGGCGCCTGCGACGGCGATCTCATCTACAGCACCGATGGCACGTGCGGCCAGGACCACGGCCTCCGCTCGTGCGCCGGCCGATGGGGCAACTGCTGCAGCATTGGGGGTCGGTGCGGCACGGGACCTGAGTACTGCGGTCTGTTCACGTGCCAGGAAGGCGACTGCGACATCTGGAAGGAGGACCAACAGCCCGAAGGCACCCCGTGGACCCCCGACGGTACCTGTGGCGGCGCCGAGGGCTACCGGTGCTCGCCCGACTGGGGCCGGTGCTGCAATGTCAACGGCGTCTGCGGTGTGAACCCGGCCGACTGCTATGTCGAGCGTGGATGCCAGCCCGCCTTCGGAATCTGCGCCTCCAACTCCAACTCCACTACCACCTCGTCGGCCACCTCTACCACCTCCTCTACCAAGACAACTTCATCCTCCTCCACTAGCAAGACGACTTCATCTTCCTCCATCCCTGAGACGACTTCAACATCCACGACTCCATCATCAAGCACTCCCGGAACCACCACTGCCCCTAGCACCGAAATCCCAGGCGTATCCAACCTACCTGCGTGTGGCCAGACCTGCTTCAACAACATGCTCGCGCAATATTCGGCCCTGGGTTGTTCCAGCCCGCAGGACTCGTACTGCCTCTGCAACAACGCCGATTTCGGCAACGGCATCCGCGACTGTTCCAACGGCGCCTGCGGGGCCAGCGTTGGCAGCACCGTGATCTCTTTCGGAAGTGCGTACTGCTCCACCGCGTTCGCCACGCACACGGCCACGACCACCGGTCTGGGTGCTCTGCCCTCCTGCGGACAGACCTGCTTCAACAACATGGTGGCGCAGTACTCGGCGCTCGGCTGCCCCAGCCCTTCCGATTCGTACTGCCTGTGTGGCAAGGCCGACTTCAGCAACGGGCTGCGCGACTGCTCCAACGGAGCGTGCGGCGCCGTGGTGGGCAGTAGTGCGATCGCGTATGGGAGCGCGTACTGCTCGGCGGCATCGGCCACGCACACGACCACGGCCACGGGCGTGGCGGCTCTGCCCTCTTGCGGCCAGACCTGCTTCAACAACATGGTGGCGCAGTACTCGGCGCTGGGGTGCGCCAGTCCCCAGCCCTCCTGTCTCTGCAAGAATGTCAACTTTGGATACGGTCTGAGGGATTGCGCCAACGGTGCCTGCGGCACGGCGGTGGCCCCGACAGTGATCTCTTATGGAAGCTCGTACTGCGCGTCTGCAACAACAACAGCGACTCCGTCGTGACGAATCTCCGTTAGACCCAGCTCTGGGAGGGTTCGCCGGCACGGGTTGAAGGTGTTGAAGGGGTGACGTGACTAGATTCGGTGAAGTTAAATGCCACAACGGTGGTGATCATTGCTTTACTGGAGAACTCCTTGAGTCCTGCAGTCTTGAACGAGTAACTATATATATAATACTACCTACCTAGTCCTTGTTATCACCATTCCTCTCGGTGATCATCTTGTCCTGGAAGTGATACTCATCGGGCCTAGGAAATCGAGATGATGGACGAGTACCCACCCGTAATTATGGCGCGATGCCGTAGAGCAGTAAAAGTCGTGCGGCCCATCATGACGACGTCGCCGCCCTTGCAACGTAATGGTTGGAAATGTGGGATTTGTGCCCCGCCGAAGTCTCGTCGTGCGGATGTTCAGGAAATCTTGCTAAGGGTTAGGGATGTGTAAGGGTCACCAAGGGCCTGCCGTCTCAGCCACCGCTCGGCGTTACAGTACATACCGTACCTACCTGGGTACCTCGGTACCTGGCTCCACGACTTGGCTCGGTACCTAGGGAGGTTGATTCAAGCCTACCTGCCCGCTTGTACTTAGGCGCGTCGAGGCGCTTTTGGCGCTATTTATTTTACCGGGTTCCTCCATCTCCATCCCTCACAACGCGTCCGCCACAATTACATGTACCCGCCTGCCAATTCATTCGTCCGCTGACTCCATGGTTTTCCCACAATTAAGCACAGCCGGCAAGCGACTCTTCTGGAGGCTCAATGGCCCACTCGAGGGTGCTATCGAGGTCTCGCCGTCGGAATACTACGAGCCGGGCGCCTTGATGGAGCCGTACTTCGGTCCGGACGGTTCCCTCCACCCCGTGTCGCAAGCGTCCCTCGTGGAGCCCCCGGTGTCGTCCGATACCGTCCGCATCCGGTGCGTCAACGAGCGGGAGCGGGTTTGGGTCGAGGAGCACTCGCGCTGCCACGACGGTCCCCTTTACCAAGGGTACCCGAGACGCCTAGGGCCCCGCCCCGACGACGAGACCTTTGACCCGAAAATCTACGTGCTGGAATGCTGCGGGCAGAAGCGGCCCTGGTCCTACGACACATATCTCCAAGTCGCCGCCCAAGGCGAATTCCTCACCGTACACGAGTATGTCTCGGCCGTGCACCCGTGGCTGATGGCTATGCGCGATACCCTCCTGGACGCCCTGGGCAAGACGAATTACCAGCCCAAGTGGCCGCCTGAGACCAAGCTGGCTGTCGTGGATCTAGGGCCGGGCCCGTTGCGCATCGATCACGAAGACGGGTGGGCCTCATGGCACGAGAAGCCGCCCTTGCCCCGCCCTGCAAGTGATCAACCCCAGCTTTCGGATGGGGAGTGGCAGCGCGGGGCTATGGCGAGGGCGATGGCAAGATCTGCGGCAATAATACGCGCGCGAGAGGAAGCGGCACGAGCAGCCGAGATGGAAAAAGAAAAGTAAACTAGGAACAATGAAAACCACCAGTTTCTCTCTCTTTTGCTCCTCTGCTCTTCTGCGTGCGCAACACAAGCTCAGCACCCTCTGCAATGCGAGACTTTGGGTTCGCCCAAGGTCTCCATATTGGCCCCAGGTGCTTCGTCTCCAAACCGCTGGGTGGGCTGGGCGAGTCTCGGCTGAGGTGGGGTCTCAAGACCAAACTCCAACCCGGCATCCCCCTGCGATCTACGATCTCGGTATGGAGTAACAAAGTGCATTACAGAGCTACCCTGATAACCCTGACAAAGGGGAGCTAGCGAGGGTGGGTATTGGGGGTATACACGTATACAAAAGAGACCCCCCTGGTGCTTGTGTAAGCTGGTCGGGCGCGCTCCCACAGCATGTAGCTGCTATGTTTAAGCAAGTAAGAAAAGGGCCTTATATCATCATCCGCGCGGGAGTCTGAGTGGTTTAGACGCGGACTCACAGAATAGCTGCGGAAACCATCAATGTGGAGACGGGGAGAACACCTCTGCTCCGTGGTTTGCGGTTTACCGGGCAGGTCCGGGCGACCAGGCTACAGAGTAGACCGTGTCCTCATGACCTTCGAGCGTCGCTACACACTCGCTTGTTACAGGATCCCAAATCTTGACAGTTTCATCGTCCGATCCCGATGCTAGCCGGGCTCCATTGGGCGACCAGGCTACCGACTGGACGAACTTGTCATGCCCCAAAAGCGTCGTTGTACACTCACCATGGTCCAGATCCCAAAGATCCCAGACCTTAACAGTCCGATCATCTGAGCCTGACGCGAGACGAGCTCCATCGGGCGACCATGCTACTGACCCAACTGAGCGTGTATGGCCCTCGAGAGTCAGTGAACTCCTGTAGTCCTCGCCCCATATTTTTATAATCGTGTCATCCGGTCCTGACGCAATTTTATATCCATCGGGCGACCACGCGACTGACAAGACCAACTCTCTGAAGGCCTCAAGAATCATTGTACACCAGGTGTTTGTCATATCCCAAGTCCTGATTGTTTGATCTTCTGACCCTGATACGAGCTCCCATCCATTGGACGACCAAGATACCGAAAGGACCGCGCTGTCATGGCCCTTAAGCGTTGCGACACACTGGGCAGTCGCTAGGTCCCAGATCTCAATTGGCCCGTCGCGCGATCCCGACGCAAGCTGGGTCCCATCGGGGGACCACGCCACTGACAAGACCGAGCCTGCATGGCTCTCCAGGGTTGCTGTACACTGGCCGGTGGCCGGATTCCAAATCTTGATGGTCCTGTCCGCCGATCCCGACGCAAGCTGGGTTCCGTCGGGCGACCAGACGACGGAGAAGACCGATCCGCCGTGGCCCTCGAGAGTTGCGCTGCACTGGTGTGTCGCCGGATCCCAGAGCTTCACCGTGCCGTCGGCTGACGCAGACGCGAGCTGTCCGAGGTCGGAGCCGGCTGAGTGCAAGTTGTCGCTGTGTTCGTCCGGCGCCGGGGGTCCTGCGTTCTCGTGGACCGCGTGGCTTATCGTTTCTTGGACATTTCCATTGTCTGTGCCCTCCCCGACGGAGGCGGTAGTTTGGACCATGTCGCAGTGCGCGTCTTGTGTTGACCGTGGGAATTACCTCTTGTCTGGTCCCTCAAAATCCAGTGTTAGTGAGTAGTAGTCTTAGAAGAGAAGGACAGGGTAGAGATAGGTGAGGTACCTTAGCTAGATGGACTTGGGTATCACCAGCTGCTAGTCGCCAGAAGCAAAGAAGTAGTGAGTGATGTTGTGTTGAGGCATTGAGGGACGCCCGGTTGCATTGGTATGTACAACCCTAACCCCCCGAGCGAGCAATGAAACGTGATTACAGACGAATAACTACTAGTTACCGACTAACTAACTAACTAACTAACTAACTACGAATATTGTATTTGATAAGCGAGTGCACTCAGAGGAGGCAAGCGAGTGTGTCTGTCTCCCTCCCTCAGACCCCTCCATTGAAACATGAAACATCTGTGCTCACCAGCCCCGATCCGTTTCCCGCCGTGCCGTGGCTGAAGGTCAAGTCAAGGGCGGGCGGGATGGCGGGCGGGGGCTTGGTTCATGCAAGGCATCACGGGCCATGTTTCAGTTACTCACCACACTTCACTCCAAAAGCGGATATAATGACTTACATCGATCGCTTCCCTTGCGCAGGGGCTCGCTTTTGAAGCAAGGCACGGACGGACAGACGGACGGCCGTCTTGACGCAGGATGCACCTCATCGCTGCTGCGCATTTTTTCTTCAGCTATCTTTACAGATCACAGATAGACACGAAGTAGAGATGCAAACGGATCCAAAGCCCCAAATCCGGCTACCTGATGAAAGCAGCGATGCAATGAGGCACAGGTGGGGGGACGGGGGGGACGGACGGGGGGCGTCCGTCAGCAAACTTCCATGTCCTGCTCCACCTTCACCCGCTCCCGCTCCCAGGTAGGTTGTTTCTCGAAATAAACCGAGAGACGGAGCGAGACATGTTTGCTCTCACTCACCTCGGGCCCACCTCACCTCACCTTGCTCTAGCTTTGCCGCGCCCGCTCCTCCTTCCGTTCCTTAGCGAGGGTGTGCCCGCCGGCGCACGCTGCACGCGGCAATCTGCCGGGTTTCAGTCTTCCCTTCATCCTTCCCGCCCTGCTGTTCCTGGATTTGTGGGTGGGGGGGAGGGAGGGAGGGGGGTCCGGCCCCGGTCGAAGGGTTGCCTATTCTCGTTTGCCTGTCTTTGCGTGTCTTGGCTCATTCCCTTGGTAGGTCGGTGGGTTGATGCCCTTCTTGGTGTCGGGGGGTTGGGGTGGCACGGGTAGAGATCGAGCTAGCTGGGGGCGCTGGGGAGGTGGATGTGGATGGGTGAGGTGTGCAAGGTGGGTGTGGTGAGAGATAGCACTGGAATTCAGAATCCAGGTTCGGTAGGTAGGTAATTAGCAAGTCGTCTAATATTTACATCGTGAAATCGTGTCACCAACTAGCAAAACTAGCTATCTGTCTGTCTGTCCGTCTCTTTGCTCGTGGGGGTAAATGCTGGTGCCATGGCATGCGTATATCTCCAAATCCAAACTCCTCGTCCCTCATCCTCGTAGTATTCCAGCCCAGCCCCAGAAACCCAACCCGAGATCAAAGAACGCCAGTCCTTCCCATCCCACCTCCCATAGTTAAAACATCCAGCCCAAAGGGCAAGTATTAGTAGTACACATAACTGTAACACACATCCAAAAACCCCCCTTTAACAAAAGGAGAGATCACCTCCACGTCCCATGTATCCTCCCCCTCCTCAACGCGCCCCTCTTCAGCCCCACATCCCCCATTCAGCATGAGGCTCTTCCAGCGGCGGCCGACGGTGGCGCGGTCCTTGCCCAGGCTGCGCGCGCAGTCCTGCCAGTCCGACTTGGTCAGCTTGAGCTTCTCGAGCACCAGCTCCACCAGCATGCGGTCCTCCTCGGTGCTCCACGCCGACCCGTCCGCCTCGAGCACCACGTCCGTGCCTCTCCTGCTCATCTCCGTGTCTGGTGAGGTGTGGCCGGTAGATGTGTCGCCGTCGCCGGAAAAGGTCGAGGAGAAGGACGAATGCAGGCTGTGGTAGTCGGCGCGCTCGAGCCCGAGCGGGATCACCTCGGGCGCGATGCGCGCGCGCTTGGGGGTGTGTGGTGGTGACTCCTCTGGTCGGTCGTCTTCTTGTGGTTGTTCTTGTTGTTCTGGGCTGTGTTCTTGTACGTCGTGTTCCATGTCGCTGTCGTCCTCGTTGTACCGGCCCAGCTCGTCGTCGGCGGCGCGACGACGCTTGTTGGGGCCCCGTGGTGCCGCCGCTTGTTGCGCGACCGACGCGGTGCGCTTGACGATGCGCTTCCTCGTGGGCCCGTGGTCGCCTGTCGGCGCTGCGCTATCTGTCTTGCGCGAGCGCAGGCGCAGCTTGAGTGGTGGCGGCGCGTGCGCCAGCGGGGGTGTGGGTAGTTGTGCGTGCGACGAGGCTGGTGGTGTGATGGGTTCTTGGGCGATGGAAGGTGTTGCGGGGTTGGTGAGGAGGGATTGCAGAGAGCGACATGTCGAGAAGATGTTGCCGATGGCTGTCTGTGGCGAGACCTGGGGAGGGCTGGCGGGCGGCGAAGTAAAGAGCGCGGCCTGAAGGCGCGGCAAGGGGGGTGTCTGCGACGAGTCGCACGGGAGTGCCGACGGCATCAACATTGTAGCGCGTTTGATATTCTCGTTTGTTGGTGGTGGTATGGAAGTGATACTGTTCAAGGCGTGGTTGCGAAATGCGGGCAGCAGCGGTATAAGACACACGAAGAGTGCGCTTGAGCTATTGGCCAAAACGCTTGCGATCCGGGGGAACGGTTGGTTGCGACGAGGTCGAGAATGCGCCGTTGTCTCCCAATGTGTTGCGAAATCCTGGGTGGTGCAGAGAAAGAAGCGCGCTAGTCAACGTCGGATAGCAGTTTCAAAGAAGGTATCTGTTAGAGTACCGAAAAGATGCGCGATCGTGGGTTGTCTGTTGCAAGAGGCTGGAGGTGTGGACGCAGACCGGAAGAAGGTGAAGAGGGAATCCGTTTGACGGGGGACCGGGAGAGAACAGAGGAATAATGCGCCTCATAAGAGCAGGTCTGGCCTAGCGGCAGTCAATTACAGGGGATACGATGCGTAGAAAGTGGACCACATGATGGGATAGACAGGGCTCCCAGGTGGTGCGCAGGGCGGCCTGGCCAATGGCGATCGGTCGGTGCGATGCAGGTGCCCCTCCTCGACTCCCTCCACAGCTTTTTGCTCATGCAAGCACTTAACGGAGTGACGAAAATGTGGTTTTACAAGGTCACTCAGACAAAGCCGCTCGTGTTACAAGATGGGGGGCAGTGCATGAGGTTTGTATCAGGGCGTAGGTGGCGGACGGGGAGCTAATTCCTGGGGTACCCAAGAAACCCAAGATACCCAAGATTTAGGTTTCCCATCTCCCACATTTCCAATAGGTAGCCAACCTGGTGCAGACCGCGCAATAGGCAGAGAGGCAGAAACCCAGAATCCAGGCACGGACAAGCTAGGGACGGACGGAAGGGAAACCTGTTTCAGCCCTTTCTTCTCCCTTCGGGGTCGGTTTCTCGGACCATGGACTGGATCAACCCTGTGTCGGCGCAATGACCATTGCTTCTTCCCAAGGGTACTCTGACTAGTCATTCGTACATCCCTTCAACAGCAATCGATGGCGGCAGCGTCAACGGTACGGTACCTACCTATGCACACAGCAACGACAAAGTATCACGTACTTCGGCTCGGCCAGGCGGCCGGTCATATCCCAGGTTCTATGGGTGGTCAGCCTAGTTTGCCGTCCGTACTTGCGTCAGCCTCCAACGGTCGAGGGCTTTCTACTGCCTTCCCGATGACACCTTTTTGGCCGCCGCCTGTCCGATGTATCCAAGGCACGACGTGGACAAGGGCGTGCGGGAACAGGCACAAGCGGGTCAGATCGTCAGTCCCAAGTGTCCAGGTCCTAGCCTGGATGCAGGAACAGAATGACTAGTGGCTTGATCAACCGGGGTCTGGGGTGTTCTCCCTCTTTTTGAACCCCTGACTTGTACAAAGTAGGCAAAGGCTAGTCTCGAAGATCAGGTGTCTTGCTGCAAAATCGCCAATCTCTCAATTTGCCACCTGAAAGCTGGTCGTGACAGGAAAAGGACCAGGTATCGTGGAGAGTTGGCTTTGGGAAAGAGATGGTAGCGACGATTCTAAGCGATGGTTCTAGACATGAGATGGTGTGCCTCCACCGCCGAGAAATTCCGGGTTTTTGTCAGGCGGGCATCGTCAACCCCTCCAACTTTCAATCGGTTTGGGGACAGAAGGGCAAGTGGGCTGGGAGACGCGTCACGTCGCGAGAGACACGCGACGCGGACGCGACTTGATGTGGGCCCAATTTAAGACCATTGACCAATCCCTGGCCACTAGTGAGTGGCATGGTCCAATGATTGGTGGAAGCACCAAACGGTTTTTCTGGGCCCTGCGGCGGCCCCACCATGGAGCTTTGGACGCTTTGGTCATTCTTGCCGAGGCCCCGATTTTTCTTGGCCTTGCGATAAGGTAGGTACCTAGGTACCTAACTCATGAGCTCATCCGTCATCTGTTATTCGCGTCAAAATTCGAAACCAGCCAACTTGTCGGGAAACAGGCAGCATGGGGGAAGTCCCGAAATCCTGAACGGGTAAGAGCCGTGGGAGATCAGCCGGATCAAGATCCGGAAACAATCAGGATTGCCTGTTCACTGAGATACCACACAATACAGGTAGTTATACAAAGTGCAGATGGGTAATTTGTAACGTGTAACGTGTATTCCGTATACACCGCTTTGTTTACTTACTCCTATTCGAGTCGTCCGATTACTCCCAAGTTCGTTCTTGCAGAGCAGTTGCTGCAGAGCATCTCCTACATGGCCTCCCCAGGCACATAGCTCGAAGTGGCCATTCTCTGTTGCCGGCTGGCCCTGGCTCACTCCCCTCTCTCCTTGTTTTTGTTGAGATGGAGTGATTGTGAATAGGTCATAAAATAGGTATTCATTAACCAGCGTGGCGTGGTCACCACAAGCACAAATTCTGTTCTTTCCCCCAAACAAAGAAACCGTCTGAACTCAGCGGCCAGCAGAATCGGTGGAGGGGGGCCCCCCTGACGCACAGGCATGGAAAGACCTTCATGGTAAAAACAGGTAAGCAAAGCAAGCAAACGAAGGAAGCCCAAGCGGGATATGGGGAATACAAGGCCAATCATGATGTAGTCCAATTCAATCCTTTTCCCGGCACCTGTGTAGAATACAGCTGTATCCTTGGGATTAGGTGTGGATTACTTGGAGGATGGTGACTGTTCTAGCAATGGTGTTACAGGAAAGAGCGGGCTACTTCGTGGCTGCTGGGTTACCAGTCTGAACAGATAGGTCATCAGGCGTGACTAGGGCTTTATTCACTTGCCTCCATCCCAAGTTGCCCCCCTCGTTTGCTCTGCTTTTCCCGCTCTTCCCGTCATGAGGGTAAACTGGTAACACATCAGTTAAGATGGCAGCCCTTCCCTCCATGCCCTACTTAAACCCCCACTGCCTTCCCTCTTCCCTTCGAATATTCCCACACCATTTTCCCACCCAGAAGTCTTCGTCCATTTACCCCGCGTCTCTGCGGAATATCAACAGTGTCTCAGACTTTTACTCTCTCAACTTTGCTTCGAATAAACTGCTTCTATTTCCAGCGGCATCACCGCTTTGCTTCCATGATGGACGAGGAGCCCCACGACCAGCCATCTCTGGCAAACGCCACGCCCCCCGCCAACAACGATAACTCTACGCTCACGGAGCCTGGCAACGAGAACCCAGCGAACGCATCTGTCGGTCCGTCAGAAGCCACCGAGGCCGAGGAAATCCCCTCACTTGACACGCTCTCCAAGGAACCCTACCGCACCCACCGCAAATGGTTTCCCAAGTACGGCCGGGTGCAGAAGTGTGACTGGTGCAACGCCCGGGCTCCGGGCACCCTCCATGTCTGCGTCCAGTGCTCTATCCGAATGTGTGAGGACTGTGCCCGGAACCGGCTCTGGCACCGCAACCGGACTCACTTCATCGATGCCGATACCTTGGACTGGGTCATGAAGAAGATTCCGAGAGCACCCAGGCCTAAGCTGCCTAAGCAGCCGAAGTCAACCAAGCTGAAGGTCCCGTCTAAGCGGAGTGCCGCCCCGGACAGCCCTGACCAGAGGCCTCGGACTCTCCCCGCCGCTCGTCGTGTCAAGTTCGAGGATGAGGACGAAGATGAGGATGAAGAAGACGATGGCGACTGGGCCGGTCATGGCAATAACTTTGACAGAGCCCGTACCAGTCAGCCGCACTTTAATGCGTCTGTCCATCCTCACTATGGCTACGGCCACCCTCACCATCAGCAGATGCCCAACTACTACGATTACAACCAGGAAGCTCTTCGTTACCAGCAGGCGGTCGCGCATGGCGGCTACGCTCCGTATGGTAGACCGGAACCGCCTTTGCCTGGTTACCATGACCCTAGGGTCCCACCTCCAGCTGCCCCTTCTACGACCGACTTCGGCACTCGTCGGGGTGGTCGACAGGCAGCTGCCAAGGCCAGGCAGAGTATCAGCGAGCAGTCTCGCCGTGATGACGATGACGCCAGTGAGACTGGGGTGGATGACGAGTTGGGTCCTCGACATCATCAAGACGACAGCGAAGTTCACAAGGAAAAGAGCAACAAGAACCGTCGCCGCAGCGATCAGGACACCGGCAGCGTCTCCCAGTCGAGCACTGAACGTGGCCGCGCTTCTACCATCCATGTCGGTGCTGCGCAGGGCAATCGCATGTCGGTTGGCCCGCCGGAGATCTCAGCCCGGGAGCGTGAGCACGACCGCCTTATCGTCGACGTCTACAACTGGGCGTACGGGAACAAACCCAGCCTAAACCCTCACCGCGTCCGCACGCACATCCCCGACCGGTGGTTCGGTCCCCGGGAGGCCTTGGTTCCGCCGTACTATCCTCGTGAACCGGGCCCGTATGGCCATGGCCCGAACCCTCCTCTCCACCCGGCCTATCCTCACGGGCAGTACCATGTCAAGAATCAACACCAGCACTTATACGCACCGCCGGGGTACTCATATCCTGCCCACCAACAGCCCTACCAGGAGGTAAGTCATTTCCTTTTTCCACCTACCCTTTTTACTCCCCTTTTCACTACCAACCCAAACTAACAACCAAAACAGTACCACCAATACCCCATCCACCCGCAATACCCACCCCCCCACGGCCACGCCACCAACACCACCAACACCACCACCACCACCACCCACCCCTCAACCGCACCCGCATCCGCACCCGCACCCGCAACCGCAACAACCCGCCCAGCGGCACCCGTCCACCACCAGCACCAGCTCCCTCCCCAGCAGCCGCACGCCTCGGCCGCCGACCGCATGCTGCTCGAGGAGATGTGCCGCGCGTGGACGCACAACGCGGTGCTCCAGCGCCTGGTGGCGTCCAACCACCGCGTGTACGCGATCCAGCTGCTGTGGGACGTGTGCGAGCTGCGGCGGCGCGTGGCGTTTGGTGTTGGCGATGACCATCAGGGCAATACTGGTGGCGGTGAGGGCGGTGGTGTGGGTGGTGTGGTCGGTGATGCGGCGGCGTATGCCTCGTCGCAGACGGTGCGGTGGTTTGTCGCCGAGCGCGATAGTCAGTTTAGGCTGGAGTATGAGCAGAACCAGCGCGTGGCGAGGGGGCGGGAGAGGGAGAGGGAGTGGGAGGCGGAGGAGGCAAGGGCAAGGGAGCAGGAGCGGGAGCTGGAGCAGGAGCAGGAGCGTGGGCAGGAGCGTGCGTTGCCGACGCGCAGCAGTGGTGGTGGCCCGTCGTCGGTGTCGGGGCAGCAGCGCGTTCACCGCCACCGCCGCAGGGGCAGCGTTGTGTCGTCGGGTGCTGCTGCTGGGTCGGAGCAGGACGCCATGGAGGATGGTGAGGAGACGGAGAGTGAGGAGTGAGGGGGGGTGGTGGTAGCCAGCGAGGTACTCACGCTCACTCGCTCGACTCCCTCCACCAGTCATTCTCTAGGATCGACAGTATTTGCGCCCACTTACTCGGAGCTTCCCGACACGACATATCCGCCATACGACACGGCCTTGCTTCCTTGCTTGATCGTCAGCAATGTCAGGCATATCCATCGAGTTGGGCTGGTTATGGAGATGACGCGAGGGGGGCATGAAGAGTCGACCTTCCCCCCTTATTGCCCTTTAGCATCTGGCCTGCGGTTCTGTATTGGTATTTGTCTGGTTTACCACGCCTGCTTTCACCCTGGGCTTTGGTCCCCTGAGCGATCATATTTTGGCGTTCGGCGGCGATTTAATGCTTTTTTCTTTTTATTTCTCTCGATACTGTTGGTTGTTTTCCTGGCTCTTCTCGACGGTCCAGCGTTTGCTTTATGGAGGGAGAGAGGGAATGAGGAGGAACAAGACGGGGCTCGGCGGCGAATGACAATCACCGTTCGACATGTCACTGCTTTCTTAAGCCTTGTATTTTCTGGCAGGTTGGGTGGTGACTGACGGCAGCCGTCTCTAGAGAGGAAGTTATCCCATATTGTATTGTACTGTACATAGATGTGTCAAGAATTGTGTAGGAAGCCGTGCTACTGTGAAGTCTTGTGATATGTCTGGCCTCATTGAAGTGTAGTGACTACATGACAGGAGGTCAGTTCTCCAAAATGCAATCTCGGAAGTCATATATTATAGTGTTATATTTACAACCACGCTACCTGTCCCAGGCCACTATTCCCTGCACTGTATCCTACAGGAATAATCCGTACAAAAAGCCATGCAACCACGCACCAAGCACCACACCAGTTCTGTCTATGCCAGTACGCCAGCCACGACAAGACCCAAACCATCCACGCCCCCATCCTACTGTTGGTTCCCCTCATTACCGCCCCGCACAAGACCCATCAACCCATCCTTCTCCTCGCCAAGGACCATATCCAGCAGCTTCTCCTTCTCGGCACTCTTCTGCACCAACTCCCAGAACGCCCCCGTGCCATTAACCTGATCGTCATCCTGGCTCTGCAGCGTGCTCGCGTCCTCTTCACGGTCCGCCTCACCATCCCGAGGCGCACTCTTCGCCCCCTTCTCAGCCGCCCGTTTCATGCCAGCCAACAACAGTTCCCTGGGGGTACCCATCTCCGCCACCCGCCCCTTCTCCAGCACCAGCACGCGGTCAAAGTCGGCGACCGTGGACAAGCGATGGGCAATAACAAGCACCGTGCACCCGGCCGCCGCAAACTCTTTGCGCAGGGACTCCTGGATGTTGCTGTCGGTGCCGCGGTCCACCGCGCTCGTGGCCTCGTCCAGCACCACGATCTTGGGCCGCTTGAGGAGGGCCCGGGCGAGACAGACCAGCTGGCGCTGGCCCTGGGAGAGGTTGGCGCCGCCGGTGCTGACGGGTGTGGAGAGGTTGGTGAAGATGTTAGAGTTGTCTTGGGTGGGTGGCGTCTCCGGCTGGGGATCGATCAGTGTCGGCTCGGGCTCAACCGCGGTCGATGCCTGCGTCGCAGTCTCGGAGTCCACGGCGGGTAAGACGGCGGATGTCGAGACGTTTGCAACCGTATCGGCAGGCGCGTCTGCCAGGGCTGGGCTCTCGGCGTCTTCGTCTGCTTCGATTAGGTGGACGCGTTTCAGCGATTCGATCAGTTCGTGGTCATCAAGATTGCTCTCCATGTCGAGATTCGAGCGCAGTGTGCCCCTAAGACGGTTGGGTTAGCTAAAATCGCTATTGACGGTAGGTCAGGGGGCTGGGAAGTGGCCTTACGAGAACAGGAACGGGTCTTGCGGGATAATAGCAAGACGACTCCGCAACTGAGACAACTTCAGGGTCGAGATATCCACGTTATCGACATGAACAGACCCCTCGACAGGATCAAGCAGACGGAAGAAAACCGCAGCCAGGGTCGACTTTCCTGCACCCGTCCGGCCAACGATACCGATCCGCTCGCCGGCGCCGACGGTAAAGTTGACATTCTTCAGAACCGGCGGAAGATCGTCGGCGTAGCGGATCGTCAAGTTGTCGACCTCGATCTTTCCTTGGGCGGGCCACGCAGCGGGGGCATCCTTGCCGCCTTCGGACTCAGTCTCGATTTCCGCATATTCCAGCACGCGCTCGCAGGCGTTGAATCCCAGCTCCACCGAGGTCATGGACTGGAGAAGCGAGGTCAAGGCGTTGGTATATCGCAAGGCAAAAGCCAAGCTGAAGCCGGCCAACGCAGCGTCGACACGGCTGAAGGCCACCGCGTTGGCGACAACACTGACAAACAAGGCACCCAGCACGCCCATCCGGAAAGCCATCCAACGGGTAGACAACTCCAGCATCCAGGTGGCCTTCGAGCTGTTGTCGATGAGGCCGTACATGCGGTCCATGTAGTACTTGGTACGGTCGAAGGCACGGATGGTGGAGAGGCCCGAGAGCACAGAGCTGAACTGGTCGTAGATGGGCGAGTGCGAGACTGAATTGATCCGCTTCACCTCCCGCGCAGCCGTGATGTACTCGCGCGCAACTCGCACATAGAGGACAAAGAGGAGGACGCCAAAGAAGATGACGTACGCCGACACCGACAAACTATCGCGGTTAGTTAGGTCATGGAACTACCATTTACCGGTTTCCAATATGAGACATACCTGGTGGCGATGATGACAACCAGAAACAAGATGTTCCGGATAAAGGTGAATGTCTGACTAGAAAGCCGCCTGTCGACCACAAAAGTATCCGAGGTGAAGCGGTTGAGGATACGTCCAGCCGGGACCGTGTCGATCCAGCGTAGTGGCGCTCTGAGGATAGCATGCGTCATGCGCTGGAAGAGGACCCTGGATGCAGTCAAACCGACAAAGAAGAAGACGATGACCCTGACAATCTGGGTCAACAGCATAGTAAACTCGATGACGATGTAGGCGCCGAGCCCTGGTAATCGAGAGGTTAGTAGGCGCGGAGACCAGTAATATAGGTGGGATACACGTACAAAAGAAGATGCTGTGCTCGGTCCAGGAAACCTTCTGCGAGACAAAGTCGCTGGTGTACGCGAAAGAGTTGACCATCTGGGTGGTCAGCGATGTGAGAGGAACCGTCTCAGACGCAGCCTGCTGTGAAAGCTCCTTCAGACTCCAATTCCGGGACACCGTCAGGAAGTGGCCGAAGAGAAGGATGCAGACTCCAACCAGCCAAGGAAGCACGCCGCCGCTGGCCTTGTAATAAGCCTTATACACGTCCCATTTGACGCGACCAGTTTCTCTCTGTTCGTCCTCCGTCTTCTTCGACTTTTTTGGCCCGGTTGAAGTGGGGTGGCCGTTGTGGCCATTGCGGTTGCCCTCGCCGTTCACGCCGTTCTGGGCATCTTCCGATGACACAGACGAACCCCCCCGCTCAGGTTCCCCAGGTACAGCATATCCCGCCTCGGTAGGAGAAATAGGCTCGGCTGACTCGACCTCGCCGCTGCGGAGGCGGACTAGATAGCTCGCGTGGGGTAGTACCAGCTCGGCGTGGTGGGTGGCCAAAATGCGAGTCCTCCCCCGAGCAAGCGCACCGGTGAGAGCTTCATCGACGATCAGCTTGCCGACGTGAGCGTCTACGGCGCTGAGGACATCGTCAAGTACGAGGATGCCGGCGCGAGAGTAGAGAGCCCGAGCGAGGGCAACACGCCACCGTTGGCCGCCCGAAAGAGTGACCCCCTTAGGGCCAACTTCCGTTTCGTCGCCGTCCGCCAGGAGCTCGATGTCTTTCTCGAGAGCGGAAGCCGCGAGAACCTTTTGATAACGCCCTTCGACAAAAGGAAGACCGAACGTGATGTTCTCCTTGACAGTACCACCCTCCACCCAAGGTGTCTGAGAGACAAAGGCGGCCAGCTGGGGAATAACCCACTCCTCTTCCGGGATGTATTCCACGCTATCGTCGAACTCGGGCACAGGCGGCAGGCGAATTGTGCCCGCCAGCAGCTTAACCTCTCCAAGAAGCGCTGCGAGCAAGAGGCTCTTGCCTGAGCCAGTCTTCCCCGAAATAACGCTGAGCTTGCCGATGGGGAAATCGAGGGTCGCATTTCTAAGAATCGAGTGGGCTTCTCGCTGTTCTTCTGCGCCCTCTTCGGGGATATCGGTATCTTGAACCCTCGGCCATGCCACAGTGGCATTATCGAAAGTGATCCGCTCTCCCGGTTCTGACACGGGCGCCTTGTCTGACTGGTGAAAGTACTTCTCCAACCTCACGGCGCTGGTCCACGCCTCAAGCAGATACATTTGCAAGAGTGGCAGCAGGGCGATGGCCTCGTCGAGCTGGTCAAACAGACCAAGCGATGTGAAGATGATGGAGGCCCGGATGTGTGTGCCGTTCTGCCAGACATAGATGCAAAAGGTGACGCTCGCCAGCAGCAGCGGCCCAAGGTTAACCATGAAGACCACGAGGCACTGCCAGATGGCAACCCTCCAGTACTGCCTGAGCTCCTCATTGCGAGAGGCCAAGATCTTGCTCTCCCAATGCTGCTCGAGAGCCGAGTACCTGATCTGGCGCATGCCTTGCAATGCTTCCGTCAATAGATGGGCTTTTCCATCGCGGTATTTCATCAAGCCGAAGTGCAGGGCAGTGTACCTCCTCGACAGCATCGAGCTCAGCGGCACCATCAGGGAGCCCGCACCTAAGCCACAAATGACTGGCAACCAGCCCATCAAACTGACGGCAAAGCCGCCAGCGAGGATCAGCTTGAACACGGCCATGGGGAAGTTATTGTTGTAGGTGCAGAAGATGGTGACGCGGCCGCTAGAAAATGTTAGAATCCTAATCATCTGGACCATTGAGTTCATTCTTCGGCTAGGATCATACCTGTCAAGCTTCATGTGGTTGATCACCGATTGTCTAGTTTCCGGCTCCTTGCTCTTCGCTTTACCAGAACTGGTCCCGCTGTCTCCGTTGGCATCACTGGAGCTGCCCTGACTGCCAGACTTGTTGCCCTTATCCACATTCTGGCCCGGAGGGGCGGTCTCGTATAGTTTGAGGGCCTTGGAGAAAACTAGCGACTGCAGCAGTGAGCTTACTGGGATTTCAAGCCGGCTAGCAGTAATCCACTTGAGCCAGTTGTTGACTCCGACTTGGAAGAGTTGGCTGAGGAGCAGCCCAAAGACCCAGAAGAACACGGTGGGATCCGCAGCCGTGTGCTGTTGGCTCCTCTCAATCTTGGACAGGAAGTTGTACAGGACCACCTGCGGGAACAGAGAAAGACAGGCGATGACCAGGGTCAAGAACCACTGCAGCGCAAGTTCACCGGCGTGGGCTTTGATGAGCCGTCTCCAGAGGGGGCCTTCGGTGCCCTTCCCAAGGAACTTAGACTCGAGGTACCTTGAACGAGTAACAAAGTCAAGATTCGGGATATCTTGGATTTGCATTTGCCGCTCCCTGGAGACATTGAATATGTTCCGATTCCAAGAGAAGGTGAACTTGGACAGCAATGAGAGGGTGTGCTGTTGATCCACGAGCCCGGCCTTGTCGAAGATGTCAGGGCGGCGTGGGAACCCTGCGAAACCGCATGTAGTCACCACCGCGGCTGCTAGTTGGAGTAGGTAAAGAAGGCCAAGTACCCGCATAGTCGTGTCTTCCTCTACACCAGAGAGCGATGCAAGTGCTTCGTAGCCATGACGAAGAGCGACTGCTACAACAACCAGGAGCGACGACCAAACACCAAAGACGGCGATCCGGAACTTCGCTTGGTATTTGTGTCTAGAAGGTAGAAAAGCACACTGCAAACAGAGGAAGACCTATGAAGGATTCAGTTTCATCATTCACCATCATCGGGGATAATCGGGCGCCCTACCCAGCACACTGGTTCTGTCAAAGCGGTCAACTCGGAAAGTACATTGACATGCTCGGTACCTCTCAACACCATGACCCTTGTCGCAACGGATGCTCCTAGGCCGATGGCGGCCCCCAGCCAGATGGCGATTTTAGGCCGCGTGTCTGAGAAGGCTCGGATCGAGTCTTCGGTGGCGATACCATCACGATCATGATAAATGTCTTCATCTCCACTCAGTTGAACATAGCCCCTTCCAAACCGGGCGCTCGTCCTGCAGACATAAACGAGCGACGGTATCGTGAGTAGGACTACCACGGCCACGGCGGTGAGGCTGACAGCCCGATCTAGGAGGTCGGGGTCCAACATGTTGACGGTTTTGTAGTTAACAAACTCGTCTCTCTCTCGGCTGGCTGTGTGGCTGTGGAGAAGAAGTACAACCCCTTCACCAGGGCGTTGGTTGCGGTGATGGTGGCTTCGCTAACAATCTGTGGTGCATCGCAATGGTTTATCGTCGGAGCGGTTGAAGTACAATTCAAGACCGGAGCTGAGAATGAATTGCTAAAACAACCCAGGGAAAAAAAAAAGTTGGTCGCAAAAAAGAACTGAGGCTATCAAGGTGCGAATGACAGTGCGAGGCTTAGGCAGCCAGGGATTTCGTGTTATTCACGACTCGGAAGGCGAGATACACAAGCAGAAAGGCAGTATTACGTAGGACATCTTGTACTGGTGAGCAAGGCCTTGGTCTTTGTCTGGATTGGGAGGTGTGTGCCCCTGCTAATCATCCGGATGGTCTGGAAGCCTCAGGTGCACTGCCTTGTTCTTTGTTCCGGCATTGTGGACTCTGACTTGCATTGTGTAAGTGCAGACACAACAATTCCCGCCTATCTCGCCTACACCGTGTCCATTTAGCATGCCAAGCCCATCCGCACCGTGCATCACCGTGCATTTCCAGGCTAAGAAATGGCGCTAGGAAAGAACTGCCGGGCACTTCTGCCATTTTCGGTATCCTCGTGCATTTTCGCCCAGCAGCTCACACGACCAAAGCTGAGAAGGGCATTCCTTCCTTAGCCTACAACTCCGTTTCACCGTCCGCCTCCATTGACTCATCCTATCCCAACCTAACCATTAACAATGCTGCCCCCATTGCAGTGAATCGTCTGTCCGCTGATGGACGAGCTGTCCAACGAAGCTAAGAAAACAACACATGTTGCGATCTCGCTTGGTTCTAAAATTATATTCGTGTCAGCAAGTGGTTAGGTCTGCTACGTGGCTTGGTTGGGCAGCAGATTGAAATTCGACGTACGAGAGGGCCTGCCCATGGGGCTAGTAAACTGCTTCTGCGCCTTGTCAGGCATTGTCGACGGGATCAGCGGTGTCCAGACCGGGCCAGGCGCAATGGCGTTGACCCGGATACCCTTCCCAACCTGCTGGTTGCTCAGGCCGCGTGTGAAGGACACAATAGCACCCTTCGTCGAGGTGTAGTCGAGGAGGTCAGGCCGGCCAACGTAGGCGTTGATGCTGGCATTGTTGACGATGGTGCTGCCCCGTTTCATGTGCGGCAGCGCATACTTGGCCAGGAAGAAATAGGGGTGAATGTTGGTGTTGAAGGTGTGCAACCACTGGTCCCTATCCGCCATGTCAGCACATGTAACACTCTTGTGTGCCACGTTTACTGTTTATTTCAGGGACGTACTCAGAAAGGTCCTTGATGTCATCCACCACCATTTGGTAGGCCGCGTTGTTGAACAAGATATCTAGCTTGCCGCCGAAGACCTTCACTGCTTCATCGACCACCCTCTTGCAGTTTTCCTTATCTCTCAGGTCGGTGGCCAGTAGATGGCATTGTTGCCCGTATTGTTCAACCCGCTTCTTGGTCTCTCGGGCGTCCTCCTCCTCCTCGGGAAGATAGGCGATAAGGGAGTCGGCGCCTTCCATGGCAAACAAAATAGCCGTTGCACGGCCAATGCCCGAGTCGCCCCCTGTGATGATGGCCTTCTTGCCCTTTAGTTTCTCGGCCGGCTTGTATTTCTGACTCTTGCCATCTTCGGTCGGGATTTCGTCAAATAGTGGCTGTGGGTTGGGCATTTTGCTCTCCAGACCTGGGAAACTCTGGCCCGACACCGGAATCTCGTGGCCTGTCCCAGTTAGTATCTACTACTGGTTGATGTGCGAGAGGGAAACCGAGTGCTGCTCACCACTCTCGAACTGCGGTTTGGATGTCATTTTGGTAGGGTTTTGCAAGTGAACTGGGAGAATAATTGGGATTGATTCACCGTCCTCGAAATTTAGAAGATCAGGTTGCTTTTAAAACTTCCCGTCCCAGTCAATATTGTGGGAGTGATGACATCGGGTTCGATTGTCCGGGATCGACTCCACAAAATATGCGTGTAAGTCAATGACGACATGGGACGGAGGTCTGCAACCCAAAGCAGGCCTTGATTTCATGAACGGGTCCAGCTCAAGCAAGTTTGACAAATCGATTAGAAGTAACTAAATGTATTTTAGTCGAAAGGATCAAGATCTTGGAAGCCGGGGATTGTGTGCACAACAAAATACTATATAATATGCGATCCATCACTACATGTAGCCTTGGGCGTTCTTGACGTGCTGCGATAGCCCCAGTTCAGTGTAAATATCATGGCTTTAAACATTTTAAACAGAGTTAAGTGTCATGCTCGGCGTATATGGGACTTAACAGATAGTTCCACAATGTAGCACCATTCGGCCTCGCATTTCTGTGAGCCTAAAGACTTGGAAATCTTAATAACCCCCCGAGCTGGTGCTCGTCCGGTAGGTGATTAACACTATCGGTGACACCACGCCAATTGAGACCCTCATAAAGCAACGTCGACGTAACTGTTGGGGAGAACGCATCATCCGTATATTTGCTAGCAGGTTGAAGCCACCTGAGTCCTTGAGTGAGCATAAACAACGGGGAAATAGGAGACCTCGCAGACACGGAGAGGACCATGACTTCGATTGCTCGCATTGCCTAGACAAGCCGCTGCGATGCTCGGGAATCTCAGGGATTGGGATAGTCCAACGTCTTGTTCCCTGAATGGCCGAAGCAACCCGCGCTACCATTATCGTCGTAGAGGGTTGTGTCTGTGCTCTCCGGTCAGTACCAGTACAACATAGGTAACCAGATAGGCGAGCTGCCAAAGGGATACGTTACTGAGGTCAAGGGAAGAATTGAAGACCTGCTTGTTTTCGTCTCGGCACAGGCAGCTGAGAGTGATTGTCTTCTTGGGAATTGCGATGAAAGAGCAATTGGTGCAGCTCGTCGAGTAGTTTCCACTGGGGAAAGGAAAGGTAAGTATGACCAAACATTTATAGACCGTAACAATGCATAGCCTTACTTGTCGTAGGGAATCAACTGGCCGCCATTGTTGCCAATGCAGAGGTCCAGATCAATCCTTGTTGTGCGTCTCGGTCAGCCCCGAACAGGCAAAAGAGAACAGGGAAACAGAAGAGAATACCAGGTGTAGTTGTAGCCAAACACAGCTGTCAGGTTGTTGCGGCAGAATAAACCCAGCCAGTGGTCCGTTAGGTTGGAGCCGACATATGCGCAATAATCGACGAAGCTTTGAGCCTGGGGCGGGTTGTCGGAAGCGACCCAGCCCGCGGTAAAAACCATCAGGCCGGCGGAAAGGAGGATCTGGGCAAGAGAGCGCATCTTGTCGATGTCAGGAGTAAGAAGTAGTCAAGTGTGCTTTCTTGGTTTCCGCTCTCCGCTCTCGTGGAGAGGTGTGAGGTTGGCTAGGTACCTAGGGTAAGGTACTGAGAAAAATGGAAGGTTTCGGGGGAAGTCGATGACTCCGAAGGGATCATTCTTGGTTTCTGGGTTTATGATTGGAAACCTGGAATTTCAACGGCGCAGCTGGTCTCGATGTATTTGCGATAGGTAGGGAAGGAGCGGGTTGAGTTGGCAGGCAAAGGCGAAATTAGGACGGAAAACAACTGCAGCGAAGCACTAGGCTGTTTCCACAATCGACAACCTGCCTGAGGTTCAAACCCGTGGGACATGCTCGACGGCGAGAACATCTGATTCAGACCGGAAGCTATCGCAAGAATATCAAGGCGGTCTCGCGGCCTAGTCTTCCCCGACTTTTCTGGATAACAGAGCAACTGCTATCAAATACCTTTCACTTCCCTAGTGATCACCAGATTTCCACTATCGTCGTAGCCAACACGGCCTTCGTCTACAGCCTTCCGCATTTCCTCACGGAGAGGCTCCCGCTCACCCGTCAATGGATCCCATTCCCAACCTTCTCGCATCCTACTACAACGTTAGCACACCTGTACATATCCAATAAACACCCACTTGATGATAGATCCATTATGGAGGAACCATGCCAAGATTGATGGGACCCTGGCAACGGAGACAGAGAACTAAAGGGGACATGCAAGTGATACATACCACATCCAGCGCAGACACGCCCTCAGCTCTTTGTCATGGGGCAGAACACGCATCCACTCGGGCTGAAACCCGGGCGGGCTCCCCTTCCCCGTCCAATGGTCCGACCGACCCAGCAACACATCTCTGCAAAAGATACGCCACGAATCGAGTGCATACGGGCCTTGCGTCAGATGCCCGATCTCCCACGCGCTCCCAATCGCCCTCTCCCTCGCATCCGCCACCGCATCCACAACCTCCCCCGCCAACCCACCACCATCACCACCACCATCCTCACCAACCTCACCATCTTCCGGCCCAAACACCTCCCCCACTCTCACCCCCCTCCCACCCCCCACCTCCGCAGGATACCCCCTCACTCCAAACCGCCTCGCCGTCAGTGAACGTCATATAACATGTCAGGGGGGAGCATGCCGCTGCCGAGTCGAACCCCTGAGTAAAGGCAGGGCCGGCGGAACAATAAGCGGCTCAGTCTCGTGGCGCGAGGACGCAGTCGAGAGCACCTCGGCCGCCCCCGAACACCGCCCTCGAGGTAGCGGAACATGTTTTGGGTGCCCGTGCCTCTGCGCCCGGGTGCAAGCACCTGACAGCAAACGAGGAGCAGGAAGTGCGTTGGCGCTCAACGACATCTTGGTTCAAGCCTGAGTTAAAAAGAAGATACAAGCCCCAA